AGGAAAATAGCTTAGTTTTAAACATTGGAAAAACCAAAGAGATCATTGTCGATTTCAGAAAAGGCAGGCACAGCCACACTCCTCTTGCATTAATGATTCACCTCTGGAGATGGTTACCAGCATCAAATTCCTGGCTGTGCAGTTAACAAGTAGGCTGGCTTGGTCGTTCAACAGCAAGACACTGGTGAAGCGGACACAGCAGCACCTGCATTTTCTGTGTCACATGAGAAAAGCACATCTTCCTTCCCCCTATCTTTACCACTTTCTACAGAGGGACGATCGAGAGCATTCTGTCATACAGCATCACAGTCTGGTTTGGAAGCATTACTGCTTCAGACAGGAAGGTGGTGCAGAAAGTGAGGATGGCTGAAAAGATTATTGGCATTTCCCTCCCTTCCATCCAGGACATAGCATATAAGCGTTGCTTGAGCAGAGTCCGCAGGATTGTCTAGGACACTACACATCCTCTTCACAACCTGTTTTCCTTGTTACCTTCTGGGAGGAGGTTTCGTGGTATCCAAGGCAGAACATCCAGATTCAGTCACAGTTTTAACAGTATTAACAGTATTACAGTATTAACCTTATGAACTCTAAAGCCAAGATAAGATAAGGTAAGGTAAGGTAAGGTAAGGTAAGGTAAGGTAAGGTAAGGTAAGGTAAGGTAAGATAAGATAACAGTTATTGTTATTTTTTACTGTGGGCACACATCAAAAATGAAATTTAGTTGCCCGCTCTCAAAGTCACATACATGACACACACTTAAACATACTATATATACAACATATGTATAGACCTACATCTCTACATATACATAACATATGAATATTAAACACTGTCCAACTAAATTTCATTTTTAATGTGTGCCATTATGCTCACAATAAAAAATGACAATAAAGGTTATCTGTCTGTCTATCTATCTATCTATCTATCTATCTATCTATCTATCTATCTATCAACAGAACAGAACAGAATAGAATAGAAACTTTATTGTCACTTTAAATATTCACTAATCAGCATACATTAAAAGGAAATTTTGTTTCATTCAGGACTCAGAAAAATACCATTATGCATATACTCACATACACAGACATATATGACACAGAGAAACATCACAGTCTAGTTTGAATGTAAACATATACATGGCAAAAGCCAACTTTTATTTAAAAAATTCAGAATTTTCCCAAAAAGTTAAATATTTGATTATGCATTTGATATATTTCATGTAGTTTGACAAAGAGTCAAAATACTTTGTGAGAAATAAAATACTGTATAACATGCATATTCCAACTGCAGCTTGGATCATCTCCAACAACTTTTATAGCCAAATCAGATTTCTTGATTTGGTGCATTCCATGCTGGCTACAGATGATAGAAGTTGTAGTCCAGCAATATGAAGCACATCTTTAAAATATCTGTGCCTAACCCAATGCCCACTATCCTAAGACCAAATTTGGAAATGGAAGAGATTCATTGATTTTGCAATATTTTATGCAGCCTCCTGGCCTCAACCATCAAACATGATCTGGGCTACAGATAAAGATTGTATCAAATTCAACAGAAACTTCACAGAACTGAAAACCATTCAATAACTGAGAATCTGTTTAATTAGAGCAGTGGTTCTCAATCTTGCACCCGCTGGCCTCCCACCTCCCACCCCTGGCCCTCTTTTACTTACATTTTTAGTAGTTGCTCAGCAGGGAGGGGTGGAAACTTCCAGAGAGCTCGCCTTTGCTGCAGACAACTTGCAGCACCGTTTGCAGAATGGGACTTTTGGCGGGCTCAGCAGGGCAGAGACAGCCTGGACAATTCCTATTGGCTTTTGAAAGCCAATAAATTAGACTCTATTCAAGAGAGTCTATTCTATTGGCTTTCAAAAGCCAATAGAATAAAAGGGAGTAGCACAGCTAAGGAAAAGGGAGAAAAATGGCGGACTGCGTTGTTTGGTGACCCCCGTGAAATGGTCGTTCGACCCCAAATGGGGTCGCGACCCACAGGTTGAGAACCACTGAATTAGAGCATAAACACTGGTCAAAACAGTTTGTTCAGCATAATAAACCATTAGGTGGCACTGTAACATTAGGCTCAACAATTTTGCAAGGAATCTATAGTATTTTAAATATAAATTTATGCTAGATTAAAATTCTAATTGACTTCATAAAGAAAAATGTCCCTTAAATACTTGGCTGTTTATACTATCATCTTACCACTTTCCTATCCTAAAGAGCTCATTAATCAAGTGGCCATAAGCCTAGTTTGGCTATTATTGACACTTTGCAGACATCAAAATTTGAAATCAATATTAGTTGAATGGAGCTGGACTGGGGTATAGCATAAATTGCCCTTAATTATTAGAGAGGGTGAATGTGTCTTTAATGATTGTGGTTTATGACACATTGAATTACAATCTAGTTAACATGCTCTTAGTGCTTAGGAAGTTACATGGTTTCAGTTCATGTGCTCTTTTATGACTTGGTGTAGTCTGCAAACTCAGAAAATTAGATTAAGCCAATTGTAGCTCAGTGTGTTGTGTAACAACACCACGGAGTTATATGTCTATTGCTAATGCTGTTCTAGGCATCTCTGCAAAGAAATAATCCCATTCAAACAAGTGTCCACATATCACAAAAAAACACTGATGTTCTCTTGTCAGGATCCTGGCACTTCTTCAGTCCCATTAAGGCAACCGGATTCATAACAGGATATGAATCATAATTACTGAACACATCACAGTCAGCTCAGCTGCAGCTTGAATAAGGGCCCTCCCTTCTTTTGTGATTGTTCTAATTTTCCGACAACAATGAAAATTATCTACTTAGGAGGGAAATACCCAACTCCCAGTGGTGAGTTCTGATTACTGTACTGAATGTGATATAATAATTTGAAGCAACAGTGTTAATATGCATCAATTAAAATCTGTTTGGATGGCCTTATTAAAAACATTTAATCTAAATATATTTTTGCAGCATGAAATGTATACACAGTAGTCTATCTACATAGTTTGTATATGTCCAGTTATCTCCCAGAGGAGGAAGACAGCTGATGTTTTTACACCACATATAAAGGCACATCTGGTGTGAATCTTGGGGAAGTTATTTACCCAGCTGTGCTCACACAATATCCTAAACTACTGTTCAATAAACGATGCTTTTTAATACAATGTCTACAGCTTACAAATTGTGGTTGAGTTTATACCATATGCTAAGCTACAAAGAAGCAAACTACATTTTGGATTAAACTAAAATGTTGGGTTTCTGGCATCATAATACATTGCCAAGCAACTTAGCAATCAGAAAGCACTCCTAGTTTGCTGAAGAATAGTTATCTTATCTTGGTTAGTTTCAGTGCGCTACTTGTCTTTATTTACATGTTTAAAAATTCCAGTGGTTCTTTAAATTGAAGCCACTAACAGAGATGGAAAAATGCTCTGTCTACTTTCACTCATCTGCTGTTCCCCTTTTACATATACAAAGAAGCTCCTCCAGAGCAGATGTGTAAAAATAATAGAAAAGAAGATATGGTGTTAATTATAGCAGTCCTTTTTTGCAGCTTCTTAGCCTCCTGTTTCTGTGTCCAAAAGCTGATAGAAAATTTATTTAGATCAATTAATTTATAATTGGACAAAAGTGACTCAGACATTAGGGACATTATTCAAGATTGACATACCAACTGATTTTAGCTTGTGAATTCATATTAGTTATTTGAGGAAGTTTCCAGCTTGCCCAGTAGAACTGTGGAATCCAGCACACTAAGCGATAATGTTTGCTTGGCGTTGGCTTAGTCTGTTCTGTGAATGCAGCTAGTTATGATACTGTATATTCAATTTAAAAAGGGTTAAACAGACATGACTTAGCAAGTTGGGCAAACAGTCCAATGAGTGGGTTCACCCTATATACAAATTTTGGCTAACTGATACTATTGCTTCTTTTTGTTTCCTTTTTTATAAAAAGGAAACTATGATAGCCAAATGAGAGCAGAGAGCAATTGTGCACGGAATGGAAAAAAGCTAAGCTTCCCTTAGCTTCTCTTTAAAAGCCACAAGCTTTATCATATGCCTAACTCACTATTTATGCCCATAGGCAGGAGCTACTAGTTATGGACAGCAGCATTTTTGATGGCTTTAGAAGATAACAGCAAAGATTTACAGAAAACATTAATGTTTTGCTGCCATCTATTGGTCATCAGGATTTTTGCAATCCAGATTTGATAATATATACTGCTCAAAAAAATAAAGGGAACACAAACGTATAGGATCCTATACATTTGTGTTCCCTTTATTTTTTTGAGCAGTATACATACTGTGCTTGGGAAAAGATTGAGACAGGGAGCTTCCAATGGAGAAAAAAAAGTTTCCATTGAAAAGATGATGTTAGCATAAAAAAAGATAAACATTTTGTAGGAACTTATACTGGAATCCAATTTATGAAAACTTATGGAGAAATTTTCCACAATCAGGCAATCATCCAAACAAGTTGAACTGTAATTCCCAGCATTCTGACTGGGAATTCTGGAAATTGTTCTCCAACACATCAGAAGGGCACCAACTTCCAGTAGGAGGAATTCAATGTGTTTCCTAAGCTGCTTGTAAGAGCTTTACTAAGTAATGCCCTTATTGTTTCTTCTTTTTTTAAAAGTACTAATAAAAGGTCTCCCAAATCCTATATCCTTCAAATAATCTATAAATGTATGCTAGTTTTGAAGGCTGATTGGTCTGAAATAACAAATAACTCAAGAGAAATACAGATCACGCTTTGATTCATTACTTCACAGGAATCTTAAAGTCAAAAAAAAAAAAAGAATCACGAGGCGCCCCTCGCTGCTCACTTTTATCAGTGAAAAAACATCCCCAGCGTCTGTAAAATCAAAAAGCCTCATCGCTTTCGGGGGAAAAAAAACCAGAAGGAAACGGGGACTGGTGGGGGGAGGGGTTTGTCCTTCTGGCTCCAGCCCAAAGTGGCGGGATTAGTCATCTGTTGTCCTCCTGATGCTGCTGACGTGGTGCCAGGGACAAAACGCCCACCCACTCCTGAGGGAAAGACGGACTGATTGGGATGGGAATTAGCATCTCTCCCGCCGCGTTACGTAGGCAAGGCAAGACAGAAAGCTGGACGCGAAGCCAAAAGCGCCTCAGGAAGGCAGAAGCGAAGCAGACCCTCCGCCGTCCCATCGCGCGCCTGCTCTCCAACGCTGCGCCCGTTGCGCCCGCCAATTTGCCTGAATCTGCCTCCCTCTGAGGCGCGAGGGAGCCTCCTCACCGGCAGCCGCCTCACCTGCCCAGCCGAGGGGGGGGGGGACTGCAACGGCATGGCCAGAGAGAGACGGGATAGCAAGGCGGCGACATTCTTCTGCCTGGCCTGGACACTCTGCTTGGCTCTCCCGGGCTTCCCGCAGCATGTGAGTGGCCGAGAAGACAGAGCGGACTGGACTCAGGAGAAGGTGGGTGGCTTGCTTTGTGGGTGCAGCAGGATGCGAAGGGAAGGGGCACCGGGACAGTACAGCCAGGAGGGGACAATGTCTGTGGGGTCAGCATTTTTGGCCTTCTGGCAACGAAAGGGGGAAAATGTATCTTATTTCTTTTTTGTCGTTTTTTTTACTGTGCACACACTGGCACGCATTAAAAATGAAATTCTGTTGCCTGATCTCAAAAGAAAGTATACATCTACCTCTATACATACATAATACATATGCTATATACATACACATATTTATACCTAACACCATATAAGTATATACATGTATTACTGTCCATTTTGAATACATAGCGAAAAGAGGAAACTTAAGAGTTCACAAGGTTGATATTATATGGAACAAAACTGTGAATGAATCTAGATGTTCTGCTTATTTCTTTTTGATGATAATATGATGCATGGGGCATTGGGGTGGCTCAGACTTGAACTTTTTGGTGTTATACCATTGTTCTATTGGTATTCTTATTTGTGGAGTGGCCAGAAATCCGGTAGCATGATGTACCTCTTTTTTTAAAAAATAAAGGTGATGAGGTGGCTAATTGTGTCATAAAAATAAGTGATCTGGAAGGCTGATGTACAAATAAATGCCTTTTATCCAGCTGCACTACCAGCACAGCCCTAAGGCACTAGAGAGGAAAATAGCACCCTCATCAACTGATGGGCACAGTCTAAAGGCACATGATACAGCAGCACTGCTGAAGCCAAGAAATCTGAAGTGGGTCAGTGTCTGATGAGAGAGTATCCAAACAATGGACCTAGTACAAACGAGATATCCTCAAATTCCATTGGGGGGGGGGGAAAGCAAAATTGGAATTTTCTATTGGGCAAATATAGTACTCTGATCCTCCCTATCTCTACAGAGGAGTAGATCCCAAGCTGGTCAGTTGGGCAGATTCCAAACCGAGCATAATGAGAATTGCACTCAATCAATTTGCCATGGAGGGATGTCTCCTGAGAAACAGGCTTAGCTTTGGTTGGCAAAGAATGCATTTATTCATTTTTTGTTTTAAATTTTACTCTGGCAAGCATTTGAAGTTATTACTAAAATCAATTAACAGTTGCAAGTCTTATGGGAGAGAAGCATCTTCAAACTATAAATTACTTAAGTCCTTCCAAGAATATGGGGGATGTCATATCAGAGTCTGGAAGCAACAGGAGAAGGCAACCTTCTTACCGGAAAGAATGTGGGCTTACCTGCAAATCACAGCAGGTGCATAACAGGAAATCCAGGCCTTTAAATAAAAAGCTTAAGGTCTTTTTGAACTGATGGCTTACATTTTATCAAGTACAGTAGGCAACAACAAATACTGCTGACCTTTCAGTACAATCATGATAAAATCCTTATACCTTTTGTATTCATTAGCAGCATAATTCCTACATTTTGCATTAATTGCAACATCTGGATACTTCTCAAGAGCAGCCCCACTTAAGGCACTATGATACACAACGCCTTAATTTTGTCTCAAAGTTGTCTCATTAAACATATTTAAAGGCATGTCTGCATAGAGCAGTGGTTCTCAACCTTTTTAATGCCGCGACCCCCAACCGGTCATAAGTCAAGGACTACTCAACCGGTCGTAAGTCGAGGACTATTCAACTGGTGCAGCACCGTTTGCAGAATGGGACTTTTGGCAGGCTCAGCAGGACAAAGACAGCCTGGACAATTCCTATTGGTTTTTGAAAGCCAATAGAATTAGACTCTATTCAAGAAAGTCTATTCTATTGGCTTTCAAAAGCCAATAGAATAAAAGGGAATAGCACAGCTAAGGAAAAGGGGGGAAAAATGGCGGACTGCGTTGTTTGGCGACCCCCATGAAATGGTCGTTCGACCCCAAATGGGGTCCCGACCCACAGGTTGAGAACCACTGGCATAGAGGAAAGAGTCAAAATCTGTAAGATAGCAGGTATGTGTTACAATCAAAGGTCAATTCCTTTTGTATGTGCATCAGTTTCCAATATATATGCAGAAATGATAGAATTTCTGTTGCAATACCTCACTGACATCTGCCAAGCCTTAGCTACAGCAAAAGGAAGCAATTGGTTGATATTTTTCTTGCCAGCAGAAAAATCCATCAATCAATGCACTTTAACTTACCGCCCAGTAAACTATTAAGACAGCACCACCTACCACCAGCCTCATTAGAGAAACAGAGTCACGACTGACTATGTAGATACAGCAAATTATGCTGGCATAATTTTGATCTGCTTTACAAACTAGAAAAAAGTACATTAAACCAGGTCTCCAGATGCACCTTGGGAGTGCATTAGCAAATTGAAATATAACTAGATATAATAAATATAACTATAATTAGCAAACTGAAATATAACTAAGATACTTTCCCCCAAATTTGACTGGTAAAGAATGGCAATAATTGTAATTATGTGAACCATAGAAAGCACCCACACACCTATAATATCAAATAATGTTGGGAAAACTGATATGATGTGAAGACCACAAAGAGAAAAAAGGATAAATGGTGTCCATGACTGGATACTGGATCTCCCCCCCAACCCCCCCCCACAATATTCCTAATCAAATTTCAGCATCCTCATGTTGAAGAAAATAGGAGCAATTCTTTCTCCATATTGTACTGAAGAAACCTTTATAACAAAAGATTCAAATAATCAGCCTTTTAATTCATTTGGAATAGTGCATTCTCAGGAATATTGCATCTGTGTTTTTTTTCATTCAGATTAGAAGAATTGCTGTGAGTTGATTTTCTATTCAGTAGTTATGTGGTAAAATATTTATATATAAAAAACATGTAAGGATTGTACTTTATAATGAGGATCATTCTGGATGTTGGTTGCATTTATTCTGCATTTATTTTAATTTACATTACATTACATTAGCCTGGATCTATTTTAGTAAATGTGTATTATTAATTATGTTTTACATATATTCAATTTACCATAGTAAAAATGTTCATATCAGGCAGCCTGTATATTCTATAACTGGAGAATTTCAACATCCTTTTTTCTTTAAATGAAAATAGAAGTGATTTTCTTTGAACTGAGGATTGCTCTACTTACTTGAAAGATTAGGGGGTTTTAAATCAAATATTTGGCACACTAAGTAAATAGTTTATTATGGTCTTAGACTAGAGTATATACACATAAGAGCATCTATGAAATACAACATCTAATGGCTAATATAACTTCAACGTAAAATGAACTTTATTAACATCAGTTCACTCCTTAGACTGAGGATAACACATTGCTGCAAATCATTGTTACTAGGTAACAATTTTGCAGCTGTATATGTCAGCTTCGGATTTTTATCAAGACAATAGATAAAGAATGTAAAATTTGCCTGAGTGCCAGGTGTTTTGCTAAGTAGGAGTTCAAAAGACTGAAGTTCAACATTAAATGTTTAACATTTTCAGTTAATTCTACCTCTCCTAGGTCCAATGGGGAAAGTTTTCGGATGACTGATGTTTACTTATACCTACCATCTAGTATAGTCAAAAGGGTGGTATCAAAGCAAAAAAAAAAGTCCAGTAAACTTTGTAACTTGGATTGACATGAATTTAGGTAGTCAGCTGAAAAGCGACTAGATTGATTCTTGTGGAATTGAACAGTCTTTATTTTATTTTTAAAATTTATAAGCCGCCCCACTCCCGAAGGACTCTGGGCGGCTAACAATAAAAAACACATAAAACATAACAGAACAACAGTACAAAGACAATCATCCAGGGGTCAGGTTTTATAAACCCCAGGCCTGCCGGAAAAGCCAGATCTTAAGTAGCTTACGGAAGACCAACAGGGTGGGAGCGGTCCTAGTCTTGTAATTTGGCCTAATTTATATTGAAGCTGTGTGTAGATATTCCTCGACGTACAAAAGATAGACGTAGTCCTTGACTTACAACTACAAACACATTTGATTATGACTATTCATGTGACTGTGGGGATGTCGTGATCGTTATAAGTGCGAGGACCAGTTGTAAGTTAATTTTTTTCAGTGCTACGGCTGGTCCTTATACTCTATCTATCTATCTTTCTCTCATTTATCTATCTATCTGCCAAAGGAGTTGTTCCTTCAGCAGCAGCATGATTATAAAACAGTATCTTGTTTTGTCTTTCAGTGGACACAAACTGGGATTGATGCATGTTTATACTACTTTATCGAAATCATTCTTTTATTGATTTCTATACAACTTTTTCTTGGCAGGTAAAATGGAGTTACATTTTAATTTTAATTTTTTCCTTTTTTTTAACTGCAAGCAATCTAATCTTCATTGCACTTAAAAACTCTGTTGGCTAATGTGCATTTCTGATAAAGTTGCCCTTAAGAAAAGTCTTTTGGTATATTTTCCATTATTTCTTGGAAATCCATAATTTTTAGCAGAATGTTAAATTTACAATAGGAAAGATTTTAAAAATACTCAGAAAAGGACTTGGATCAAACTGCATTTTTCTTTCTTCCAATACTCAAGGAAGGATATGAATTAATACATAAAATTAGTATGTGCTAGAACTGAGTCTTAGGAAGAGGTACAAAATAATCTTTGCTTTCTGGAAGAAATCTTCCCTAAAGATTTAATAGAGAATAGGAATCAATTACTGTACTAATAAATGCCTTCACTCCTTATCTTATGCACAGCATGTATATATGTAAATACTTTACAGAAATGCCATACATTTCCATGCATCGTGTCAATAGATTAAACTCTGGATAACAGCTCCTTATTGCTACTTTTCATTTTAAAAATAAAAACGGATAATAACTATTTTATCTGAATATTTCCATCACAGATGCAAAGCAACATGAGCAATATAACATCTTCTCATCCTGATTTTTCCTTTAACTCTTTCTGCAGTATTCCCATCGTCCAACCATTTTAAATGCAACTTGTCTCCTACAAGTCACCTCACAGACAAATGTTAATCGCATGTGGCAAAATGACCTTCATCCAATCCTGATTGAGAGATATCCAGGTTCACCTGGGAGTTATGCTGTGCGGCAGGTAAGACAGAACAGGTTGTAACTACTGAAAGAGGCAAAATAATTCAACAGGCATAGAGAAGATAGAATAGGTACACTGCAATAGACGTGTCACAGAGGTAAAATCATTGCAAAAAAAAAAAAAATTAAAAGCCTTGTTAAATCAAGCCAAAGGCCATCTAATCCACCCTTCTATGTCATTATATGACAGAGATTCCAAACAGGAGGTTTAGAGACAGGACACAAAGGCTTAGTTCTATTGCTTTCCTCTTCCCCCACATTTTTTAAGATGTGATGCTTATTATTCAGGATGTGTATATAGGTCTGAGAATTAGTAACCATTAACTGAAACACAGTTAATACTCCTGGAATTGGAAATAATTATGTTGTCAGCACTAATGACAGTACATTAGCAACTGATATATTACAACCTGGAGAAGAACTGTACTTTCCAATCACAAAATATACTCACAAGTATGCAGGATCTTTATTATGCTAAATTCTGGTAAATTGGAGATGTTCAAAATTCTTGTGACTCTTGTTAGTACAGTTGGAATGTGATGATATGTAAGCTTGATGATCTCTGCAATTTATGAAGCAAAAAAGGCAGATAAACTCTTTCAAAGAATATCTACTAACTGCTTGTTTCCTAGGAGACTGCTCACAAATAGCCTAAACAAAAATAGTATATCCAATTCTGCAATAATTAAAAACATTCAAGGAAGAATATGTACTACTGTTCCTGGAGAAAAACAGTACGGTATCTAAAAATAAAGTTTCTAGTAAGACGAATGTCTTTGATTCCACTGAAAATGAGAAATCTAATTAAAATGTCCCCTGCATATTAGGATCGCCAATCCCAAATTTATTTATTTATTAAATTTATTTGCCACTCATAACAAAACAACTAATAGCTAATTAGCACTTACAGACCACCGGTATCACTGATAATTTACACCTATGAATATGTATTTTTGGAATTAGTCCATATCCTAAAATACATCTTCATTCTCATAGTAATATTTTTTTCCCTTTTCTATCCCCTCAAATTCTCGGAAAGGTAAAAATAATAAAAAGCTGCAAAGTGTTTACCTTTCATGGACATAGAGCTTAATACGATGGCACTTAGATTGTTGTTCTAAAAAATTCACAAAAGGAAAGATGACAAAAGTAAAATTCTTTTCATTACGTGTCTTTATGCATATACATAATTATGTCTTTTGTAGTTTCATTCTGATTAGCAATAAATCTTGTTTTTCAATGCATAGGTTTGATTTTTTTAGACAACACATTTTTCTAACTACTGTATCCTTCAGCCATTGTAAGCCAACTGTTACTTACAGACAAGTATCAACATGTTCTGCAAGATAATGAAGCCTCTCTTAGGCCTTGATTGCAGCAACTCTTGAGCTGCTATAGAAATGAGCAGCTGAGAAAACATATTACTAAAGAAACATCCAAAGATATATCCTCAGATGGGGGAGCAGCAATTATATATCATTAAGTGACAGCAGCTGGGATTGAGAACCTCTTACTTTCCTAAGTCTTTCTTGCATTTCAATCTGGAATTGCTGACTAAAGTCCATTTTTCTCATATTTTGAACTATTTCTATGACTTTCATATTTTGAAAAGTTTCTATTCCTTTTGAAATTATGAACATGAAGAAACTCTAATGAATGTAGAATCTCATCCTGATTTTCCTTTTGTTCTTTCTGTAATATTCACTGCAAAAACACTCTTATCCAAAGCTCAAAGTAGCCAAAACTTTATTACCTCTCTGATTCACTCCTGTGCAACATGAAGTATAGAAAAGGAGACTCCAAGATGGGGGTATATGTGAATGTACCTGCATTCTGAAAGAATCATTCTCATATTAAAAAGCTAAACATGAAAAAGGCGTAAACATGTTATCATTATGTTTTCTTTGCCTGATGCCCCTTAGATGTATTTGATAATTGTTCCTAGATGCTACAGATAAGAGGTGAGCTGGCAAAAAATTATGGGAACTGATTACATCTGAAAGGTTATCATGTTGAAAAAGGCTGATAGCTCGCTCAGTCCAAAGTTTTCTTTTGCCGTATACAAACAGAATTCCAGCCTGAAATGGAAGACTTGTTCTGCTTCATTATAATGATATATTGATAATTATCAGTAGACTGCATGGCTGCTTGAAAAGGTCTCCTAAAGAGAAATGTATTCAAAGCTGTGAATGAACATTTTTAATAGTAGCTTTGAGGGGATAATATTAATCTTCTTCAGAAAATTTGTTGGCACCTGCAGGATTGATTTATATGGACTTACTTAAAACTTAACATTATTGAACACTACTGATTTTTGATTCTATACATTTTAGCATATCAAGCATCGCCTACAAGGATTACAGGCTGGCTGGCTTGTTGAAGAAGACGCATTTCAGAGCCATACTCCTTATGGATACCGCACTTTCTCAAATATAATCAGTACTCTCAATCCCCTTGCCAAGCGCCATTTGGTGATAGCTTGCCATTATGACTCAAAGTATTTCCCACCGCAACTGGATGGTAAAGTGTTTGTTGGAGCCACCGACTCAGCTGTGCCTTGTGCAATGATGCTAGAATTGGCAAGGTCCTTGGATAGACAGCTTTCTTTTCTGAAGGTATTTGCTTTTTCTTCAAGTTGCTCCTGTATTTACTGTGATCCTAAGAAAGGTGACTGACTTTCCATTCTGTTTCCCACTCATTCGATAGCAAAGCAGCTTACCACCCAAGGCAGATCTTTCTCTGAAGCTTATTTTCTTTGATGGTGAAGAAGCTTTTGTGAGATGGTCCCCTTCAGATTCCCTGTATGGCTCCAGATCTTTGGCCCAGAAAATGGCATCTACTCCTCATCCACCGGGTGCCAGGAATACGTATCAGATTCAAGGCATTGTAAGTGAAAACTTTACAAATACTGGATACTGGGCTAAAAATGGCAGAACTATACAAAGTTTTTTATGTAACATTAATTTTCTATTAGTCCAATTCTTTAAATATTATTATGATTGGGAAGAAAGCTTATACAGAAAGAAAAAATTGGAAGAGAGATAAAAATATTTTGCAATTAGTACTTTAAAATGCGGTCTTCAGAGGGGAAGTTCAGAGTGCTGTATGACTGGGGGCTGTGTAGTGAATGGGAGGGAAGAAGTCCTGCCTCCCAAGTGTATCTGTTGAGCAGGAAAAGATTATTTGGGGGACAGGAGAGCCTTACAAGGGATCTGCCCTGTTTCAGGCTGAACATACACATGAAGTTCAGTTGCAATCAGTTTACTTTCAAGTTTTCAAGAATTACAGGCTTTGGCAGGCAGAGCTCTAATGTGTGCAAGCACATGGACACACCAGAACACTAACAAGAAAGCAAAATCTTGTCTGTGAGCCCAAAGCCCAATCAGATCACGGGCATACAAAGATCAGGAACAGTCCAATGAACCAAGTGACATGGAAAATACTCAGAAAGCTCAGGCTTCAGATAACACTTAGGATTTAGTGACATAAAAATGCCGATCTGTGGTTAGAGTAGTTGTTCCCAATGGAAAAACCAGCTTCTGTAGTTGCGTTAATATTAGTAGTGTGACAAGACTTAAGACAATTGCCACTTTTGCTTCTTGATGTTCTTCTGCTCCACTCTCCAGAGTTCACAGCATGTTTTTAGGTCAGGTAGCTGCTTAGGAACAGGACCTTTGTGTTTTATTTTGTTCTGCATCTGTTCCAGATTATTGCTAGCACAGTCAGCCTTTGGTGCTTGATTGCTCCTCATTCCTGAGTCTGATATTTGTCTTGAGCAGGTCCCCCATATCTGAGTTCTTGGATTTAGAGGAGACCATGCAGGGCTGAGAGTTCTGTCTTTGGAAACAGAAAGAGCCACTTATACCCTTGCATGGAGATCATATCAGGTCACTTTCATGGCCTCCAAGTTAATAACATGGCACATTCACAAATTTAGTCCAAACTTTAATGAAATTAATGAAATAGATTGTGCTCTTATTTTTGTACTGATAAGTAATGCTTGTTTCTATAAGAGCAATCTTTTGCAGTGAAAGAATCACTACTATCATTTAGAATAGCACTAGCACTTAGATGTATATACTGTTTCACAGTGCTTTGTAGCCTTCTCTAAGCGGTTTACAGAGTCAACATATTGCCCGGAACAATCTGGGTCCTCATTTTACTGACCTTGGAAGGATGGAAGGCTGAGTCACAACCTTGAGCTGGTGAGGATCGAACTTCTGGCAATGGGCAGAGTTAGTCTACAATACTGTATTCTAACCATGGTGCCACCAACAGAATAAAATAATACAATTTACAGTAAAAACTAATCAGATAAAACAGACAAACAAAGGTGAAGTTAATTGATAAAAGAAATGCAGAGCTATGCCATTAAAACGCAGCTCCCATCTGAAGTCTTTGTAGACTTATTAGCCAGAATCAAGTCCTTACTAATTACAATAAGAGTCACACTAAGGTTTGTGAGTAGAAGATTTCAATCTCAGTGAGATATTTATATTCAGCAATATACAGTATGTACAGCAAGCATGACTCTTGAAATATTTGTCTGAAATTGTCAACATTCACTGATTTTAGACAATCATTAATATTCTCTTATGGGTAAAGCTCTGGAGTGGCATTTAAGGATTAACCTTGACTGATTTCTCATAGGATCTTTTTGTGTTGCTGGATTTAATTGGTGCACGAAATCCTGTTTTTCCTGTTTACTTTTTGAACACAGCTCGATGGTTTGGGAGACTTGAAGCCATTGGTAAGAACTTATTTTACAAAATATATCAGTTCCACTAGTAAAGGGATATTTGAATCTTTTAGTTTTATATGGTAGAGTGTTTCTAGCAATATCATGCTATTACAAATTTACATCACAAATGTTGCTATGAACACCTTTTCCCCTTGAAGGGATGTTTAAACAAAAACTTGTGCATTATAGAAGAAGCAAGAATTTAGTTAGCCACTAAAGTATATATTTTTAAAATCATTGTGGATTCTGTTGATTAAGATAAAAACTATACAAATGCTACGAAAACAGTTAAATAAAAATTAAGTAAACATCTGTTCTGAGGTCATTTTCTGGGATAGAGTAGCAATCATAACAATGAGTTTGCATTCAAAAGCATTGAGGGTGCATAAAATTCTAAGGAAAATTCATTATTGCTTCAAAATGTTTTAAACAGATTGAGAGCTTTTTTAAAAAAACAATCACTTTGATAGTCACAACTTAATATTTTTTTAACACCCCCTCCCCGCCTGCAGAACGAAACCTTTATGATTTGGGTTTGCTAAATAATTATTCTTCTGAGAGGCAGTACTTCCGGAGTAATTTACGTCGACATCCAGTTGAGGATGACCATATTCCATTTTTGAGAAGAGGTATGGATTTTTTTAATGTGTTTTAATTGACATACATTCAGCAATATATGTACAAGTGTCATTTATCTATACAAATCTTTTTCTAGACTTAAGGAATTGTACAAACATTCGTTCTTATAGAGTCAGATCTGGTCCCAAACCCATTTTTCAGAATGTGGCTTATTTTATTTTTGACAAATCATGCTGAGACAATAATATTAATACAAGAAGGCCAGTGACTATAATTATGGTATATTGCCCTTTAGGATATTCAGGGGTCCACACAGGGCACATACAAAAGGAAAAATTTGTGTTCAGACCACTTGCCTTTGCCTGTGGACATGCCTGTTCTAGAAGTGAAAAGTGGATTTGCTATTTATATGCTTAAAACATTTATATTTAGAGATAGGTCCCACTTCAAAATACTCTATTATCCCTGATAGGCAAAATCTGTTGTTTAAAATACTTTTTGCCAAAAATGATATGATTAATCTTTAAATGTTTTTACAATTTTAGCAGCAATGGAGTTTTAATAATGTTCTAATATTCAGTAGACTAAATGATGAGATTAGAACATTAACACCATTGTGCTTTCAGTTTATATATTGTATAACATTGTTGAGTTGTCTCAAAAATTAGACCTACTCTTCATTTTTTTTGTTCTCTCTTCCCAACAGGTGTCCCAATCCTACACTTGATACCATCACCTTTCCCTAGAGTATGGCATACTATGGAGGACAATGAAGAGAATCTTGACAAGCCAACTATTGACAACCTCAGCAAAATTCTGCAAGTTTTTGTGCTGGAATATCTCAACTTGGAATAACTGTTACCCTGAAATTAATATTTTGTTCTAAACGCTTAACTGTTTAGGATCTTTCCAAGAATAGGCCTTTATTGTAGATATAGCAATCAGATCTCCTACTTTACGGCTTTGCCTGTGACAAAAACTGAAAGATTATCCATCTAGATTTTATAGTTAGTGAAGTTTTAAACTTTATTCCTAAGTAACAAAAACCTGGCAGTGTAAAAGCTAATTATGTTATTATGAGAAGCTGGATGTAAAAAAAAATATACATCAAAATACCATTTTTAATTTGTTTTTTTAATTTAAAAATGAACAGGAAATGTTTATATATCTTAGATGTTAACTTCTTTCTATTAATCTTTAATATACATGCTTCATAACTTTAGTAATGTTAAAAAGAACAAAAAACTATTAAGCATCTCAGGGTGAGAATCTGAGCACCTTTACCTGCCAATTCACATATGTGCAGAAGACAAGGGCTTCAAAACCCCCCCCACACACACACCTTTATGTGGCTTATTTATTGAACTGCTGTTTGAATGATTCCCAAATATGATTTAAGGTGCCAATGTTGTAGTCTTCTGTAGCTGTGAGTGCCAATAAAAAACAGAGAGTGACTGTGCCTGGACTACAATTCTGAACCAGGTAGGCAAATCATCAGTCCAGATTTCATTAAATCATGCTGTTAAATATATATTGGTTGATTGCAGTTGTTTATCTGATGAGCATACTGTTATCTCTTTGTTGACAATGATATTCAACTTTGCAAGTGAATCATAGATTAGTAGAATCCATTGATAGTATGAGCATTCCTATCTCCTCCTTTTAGTGCAAAAGTGAGCAAACATTCATTCCTCCGTTCATTTCATTCCCTGAAGCTCCTCAGAAAACAATGCCCAAAATGGCAGCATGATTCAACAGTTAATTATATTTTAAAAATATACTTCGTATTAGTCTTGGCTCTGGCAACTACCTAGACAAGCTCCGCATTTTTCTTGGCAAGGTTTTTCAGAAGTGGTTTGCCACTACCTCCTTCCTAGGACTGATAGAAAGTGACAGGCCCAAGGCCACCTGGCTTGTTTTGTGTCTATGGTAGGACTAGAACTCAGTCCCCAAGTTTCTAACCTGTGTCTTAACCACTATACCAAACTGGCCTTCCTAATTATATAAAAAAGGTGTGTTGATCTTAATATACTAATCAACATTACTAAACTCAGGGAAAAAAATCCTTTTCATTGATTACATCATATCAGCATCATGCACTGGCATTAATATGACAACAGCCAATTCTATATAAACTATAATGCCATATGGATAGTTAATACATTTGAGTTCAAGGCTGTCATTCTATCTACGAGCATTGTTCATCTAACTACTTTTTTTTATAAGGATAGGCAATATGTGATTATGTCAGCAGCTTAACATTATCATTCCCAGAACTTTTTTGACATACTAGGAATTCAATAAAGATGGGTGGTTATATAAGGTAGTATAAACACACTATAGTTAATGGGGTAGATTCTGCACATATATGGTTGAACAAAAAGTAACTACAGTATCCATAAAACAATGCCTTTACAATCACATTCTGTTCTTTCTGTGCTTATAGTAGTCATTATAAAAGGTGGGGGAGAGTTGTTGGTTGAAACTAGACATGGAGAGATTTCCTTATCTAAAGAAAAAAACAAAATGGGGGGAGGAAGCAGTGGGAGTGGGAGCGACTCCCTCTCTGCTTCTCCATTGAGTTTCCTTGTTGAAAGCTGGCAGGGAACATTGGAAATCAAATATACAAAATGAGGCCAGTGCATAGAAAAGAAGAAATTCTATAAATTTTATGAGCTGATTAAGAATTGTATATTAGGGAAGGAGAAACTATTCATATAGAAGCAATATTTAAATATAAATTTTGGACAGAAATAATTCCTGTGCATCATAAGTAGATTTAAATGCTGTTAGACTATACAATATGAGAATGGTTAAACTGTTACAGACAAGATAAAAAACAGGGTTTTAAAAAAATATTGATTATAGTGCATATAACATAAGATATGTTGACTGAAAATGAACTGATCAGCTTCTTATAGTATTTGGTAACAGTGACCATCATTTTTTTTTTAAACCTGATTTAATTAGTAGCTCCAAAAGAAAGTACCATTATAAGTAGGCATGTAACATTGCTCCTTAAAATACATCCTTTTTGGGGGGAAGATGAGTCGCTTTCTCCTTTCAACTCTGCCTTACTCATTTTTTCAGAGTTGTCCTGATGTTGGTCTTGTGAAAATTGATATTCACCAATGAGAGATATTTAGTTCTTTAAATGTTATTCTGAGCATCAACAATTGTTTTTTGAGGTCCTCAAAACTCTCCTGCATTTGAGCTATGACACACTTTCACATATCAGTGTTGTGAAGGTCACTTTGATATGACTACCCAGAATTCTGTTCTTTACATAAGGCAGGACCTTCCACACTTGACCCTGATTTCAACTAATTGATTGAAACACTGGATTCTAATTTCTCCTTCAAATGAATTGATAAATCTAGAGGTTTACAAGCTTTTGTCACACACAAACCCATAGTTTTACATTCTTTTCATAAATAAATGAACAAGTACACTATTTTACTTATCTTCTTAATTGGTTCTTTATCCAGTTTTAGGATTTGTGCAGAGGACAGATCATGGTTTAGGTCATATTTATGCAGCAATATTAATAATTCAGAAGGGTACAGAAACTTTTAAGCACCACTGTATATTTATCCATAACTTTATATTTGCTATAGGTAAATTGCCTATAATCTCTTATAACTTAATAATGGAAATGGATCAAAGAGTTTTCAAAGGACTTTTGTTCATAAAGGAATAACAAACCTATCTAGGGAAGGTAATCATACCCACACTGAAAACCTCAGGGTAAACTGATACCTTTTTTATTGGAAAAAAAAGAGATGAATGGCAGCAATTCCACACTACTATTGTAGAAATGGGGTTCCCCAAAGCACGCTGTTTAAAAAGTTAGTCAATTCTGATTTCCCACAGTGGAAACCTTTATTAGTCCCAAACCAGCCATTCTATCCTTTATTTTATTAAAATGGAAGAGGTCACTAGGGAAAACCAATTACGACACACAATGCAAGTAGTAGGTATACAACTTCATCACTCACAAATGCTTATTACCAGAACAAAACATATTCAACCTGACACTCTTGGTGGAAAGCAGATGGGCTAATTAAATATGAACTAGATCTCCTGTGTGACACCTTTTGCTGCCATTTACCTAGAATGAGTTTTAACAAGGTGGGGAAAACTTACAGAGCATGGATTTTCAAATTCTTTTCAATCCCTTCCCTAGCAGTAGGCCTGAAAAGCCCTGTATTATATTTTATGTAACCAAGTGAAGTGTTTTTGTTCTAGGTCCTATGTATGCACCAAGAATAGCAGCACAGGCTATAGAAGCTCTGGATCACAAAATCAAGGAGAAGGAGGGCTTAAAATGAAGCTATCTTTCAATCAGGCTGTAAAGAATAAATGCTGAATGTTGAATGCTGAAATAACTACAACAGTCTGCTAGATCAACAAACCCATCCTATTGTAGATTATTTCAGGATCGTAACAAAATCAGACCACTTTTACTGCTCAACAGTTCTGGGCTGTATTTTTCAGCATTTCCTTCATCAGCTTTCCGAAAATCCAAATGCTGTTTTCCTTTGGTCCACCTGCAGCAGTTCTCCTCAGCCTGAAATTTATGTTGATATGGAGATGATGGAGATAAAGACAGAACCTTCCTTGCTTCACCGTTTCCTAATTGCCATTTCTGCTCTTAATTCCATTTCTCTCCTCTGTAATTAACCTCTCTTTGGGTCTCTACCACAGATATAGGTCTCTCTCTGGAATTTTCAGCTCTTCAGGTGCCCAAGATAGCTTTTTCCCTGAGGCCTATGCACTTGGAGGAGGGGAGAAACCTGTCCCTAAAGTCCACAAGTTCCTGTTTAAAATCTCTGATGCCATTTTTCTTTCAGAAAAGTAACTCTGCATGAGAGACATGTATTGGGCATAATATTCTTAATAATCGGTTACGGGTAGCTGGATCACCTTGTCTTCCCACACTGTCATATTTCATTGAGTTCTCCTCTGCACTCCTCAAACAAGATTACCCATAAGCATTTTAATATCAAACTGAATTTCAGGAGCGCTTGCTAAACTTAACAAATAATCATTTTTCCATTGTTCAGAAAGTATAACTTTTAAAAATGATTGTATGATTACATCAAAGACAAACTTTTAAGAAAATAATTTTGTTAATAGACACTTTGCAAAACTGTTATTTTCTGGAGTTCCTTTCACATACTATACTGAAATTATTTACAAGACCAGCAATATATGCAGTTGCAATAACTTTTTATAAAGCTATGCTTTACAGTCAGAAATGGATAACCCTCAAAAATTAAGTCAATCCATGAATGCACGTTTTCATGATTTTGAAAACTTCTGATATTAGTTTCCAGTCTTGTAGAAAAATGAGCAATAAAATAATTGAAGTAATTACAAACAATAAATATAGAAACAGTTTATTAGGGTCTTAATTGACCTTGAGTGCCAGTTCCATATCTCTGGGGAACACTGATGAAGCCAGTCCTGAATCCCTGGGTTACTCCCGTTCCTGGCAATCCAAAACCTTGAGTGAAGACACTGCTGTAAGGTACAGTTCCATGATTGAAGTTCAATCCATAGGGCCTTGCCTGAGTGTTCATGAGAATGATAGGGTTCATATTTTTACCTGGTGTGTTAAAAGCAAATTCTGGAGGTGGACTGTTTGGTTTAGTTGGAGTGGATGTAGCAAGGTCAGAATTTTCTGCTGATTTTAGAGGTGGCATTGGAATAATGTAATGATCTGAAACGTTCAGCATATTGTTCCCAATAGGTCCAGTGGCCAAAGTAGGCCTAATCCAGTCATCTTTGAAAATTTGAACAGTCAAAATAGATACTAATGCATTTAGCCGATTTGTCACATGTGCAAGTACCATCTGTTCATTGGCATCTCTTCGAATTCTCACATGAACTGATCCAGCCTAGAAGACAAATTAAGAAATGCTCATCAGTCTGTGACATATAAAACTGATAAGACTGGGGCAAATGCACAATAAGAAACATACTTCTGAAATAACTTAGAACATCGTGCAATCCCTAGATGAGAAAGTATTAGAATGTATTTCTTCATTATGTTATCCATACTTGCTTTTTAAAGAAAAAAGTCATTAGACTGGATAAATACATACCAATGAACCAAATCCCAATGTCCAGAAGTGTTCATTCCGAACTTCTAGAACTCCATCCAAAGTAGAAACCTGGTTCAAGAATAGAAAGAAACTGTATATAGTAATAATATGACTGTAATAGTTTAATCAAACAGATCTAGCATATTTTATAAACAAGAAGGCATGTTTAGATTACCATTAGAGGTGTTCCACAATTTATTTATTTGATTTCTATAGTCATCCATCTCAGCAAGTGACTCTTGGCAATAAAACATTGCATGATGTTTTACAAAACATAAAAACAACCAAAACCATGTAAACAGTACCAAATAAATATACTGTATATGCCGGCGTACAAGGCGACCCAGCGTATAAGACGACCCCCGTCTTTATCGCCGAGCCACATTCCTAGAATGTTGTCTTATACGCCAGAAACTACCAGTATTTCCGGCGTATAAGACGACTCGGCGTATAAGACGACCCCCGTCTTTGGCACCGATTTCAGCCCTCGCAGAAGTCACCTTATACGCCGGCATATACGGTATATGGCACCAAGTAAAAATGTTGCTATCGATGTTAATAAAGCCAGCAACTGGGGCCCTTAACACACTCACACAACTAAGTCTTCACGATCTTGCAAAAGGCCAACAGGGTTGTGGTTATCCTGAACTATGAAGGGAGAATATTCCAGAGGGCAAGGGCTATGGCAGAGAAGGCATGTCCCCTGGTTCCCAGAGATGACATTCCTTGGCTGATAGATCTTGAAGCGTGTCCAACTTGCCTGATGAAACTGGGCAGATACAAACAACTGGGAGAAGACTTAGGTAACCTGGCCCCAAGCTATGAAGGGATTTAAAGGTTATTTACAGGTCCTTTCCAGCAATCCCATAAAATTTTTCAGCCAAGTAAGAGAAACGTTTCAACATGTCACAACAACAATTAAAGTAAAAAGGATTCTGCCTAAAGGCACTCTCAGATTCTATCTCTGGGAGCGCAGAAACCTCACTCTGAGTGTAGACAATTGAAAGAATAGTTCTGATCGTTACATAGATATGAAACATTTTATATCAACTTACCTCTCGTATAAGTTTATCTAGCTGTCCAATCACATGAGGTGGTGTCGTCTAAAAAAAAGTTTACATTTTCATAATGTAATTTATTCAGCCATCGCATAATTAGAAATTAGGATCCTGTTAAAGTATGAGCAATTAACTAAGGAATACATCTGACTACACTCTGAGTGTTTTTTGAAAGAAAGACACATTGTTCAAATATGATTTTCTAAACGTTTTGCTGAATGGGTGAGTTCACATAAACAGCATCCTTTCTGCATTTGAATATAGACATACTAAATCACAATGTTAGTGCTTGACAATTTGTTCTTTTGTAGCAAAGTCCTGGTATTTATTTTTTTTTTAAAAAATCTAACAACACTATGAGCCATCTACCTATTTAACTGTGAATTTATCTAGAGCAGTGTATCTCAACCTTGACAATTTTAAGGCATATGGACTTCAACTCCCAGAATTCCACAGCCAGCAATGCTGGCTGTGGAATTCTGGGAGTTGAAGTCCACATGCCTTAAAATTGTCAAGGTTGAGAAACACTGATCTAGAGATTTAGCCATTTTTGTTATTGGCATCTATAGTAGAGTAAACCCTATCCATTCTCATAGTCCACCTATTCTTTTAGCTTCCTGACAAACCTAGGCCCTTTCTGATGCCAGCTGCCATCCAACTTCTCTAAAGAGTGCCCTGATAGAGTACCCAGTTTCCTGCTCCAGGATCAGTTGCCATCATTTGTGATAGTTGGAAATTAGCCTTCCCCCAATCTTTGAGTCTGGATAATACTTTTCTAATGTTCAAGAATATCGTTACTGCAGAACAACCTGATAACAAGACAAAGGAGGTGATGTAATTAAAGCATCAGCCCTCAAGAAGGAGATTCTGGGCACAGACCTATCGTTCTAATTACATATAAGATGTTGATATTAATCCAAACTACTGAGAATAAACTGAGAGAATAAACTGTACACATGCAACCTATAGTACAAATAAGCACAGTGGCCTAGACTCTAGGTATTCAGAGAGTCCATTCTAAATTAGCTAATGTTACTGTCTGTTCCCTCAGAAAGCAGAAGAATCAATCTCTCTTCAAATAGAGCCATCCCTGTCTGCTATCTTTCTTTTTCTCCTATCAACTTCTAACTCCAGCTCTTCTTACTAGGAAAACCTTCCATCCCCTTCTTGCAAAGGATATACAAGTTAGCTTTCCAGTTAACCAATTCTACACTGACAGCTACTGAAAGCCACAAAAAGTTATCCATACTACCAAGCCCCGAAAATAAGATAATAAATGGATAATTAGTACTACATGTAAAGTTAGAAGTTACATTGTAGAAAGAAAGCTATTTAGCGGTCGCTGGAATAAAGGGTAAAGTTGCTCTTAGCCTCTTATTTTTAAATAACAAATTGTCAAGAAAGGGTTCATAAAGCAAGTTCTGTCATTAAAGAATAATACTTAAATTTTTGCAGAATAAATTATTGTGGTTGTTTTGCTGACCTCAGTAACTCAATACTCTCTGTTAGTACAAAGGTCTTAACTCCTTGTCTTACCTGAAGCAATACCTTTCCACTGTAGACACTCATGGGATACATAGTACCAAATGTCATCAAAGCAATAGCTACTGCAGAAGCTGTATCAACTGCAAAATAATTACTGAAAGAGAAAAATATAACATTATAGGCATTCCTGTTTTCAGTACCAAATGCCTATTAAATATTATCATTCCATCCAAGACTACTTACTTAATCTCGATTAGCATGTATGTAATACAAAGAGCTAAAGCCCCAGCAAGATCAATCAAGATGAATGGATTCATACGTGGAAGAAAGATGCTACTCAGTCCAGGAATGATACCGCACAAGCTAAAAATAACAATAAAGATCAGTTAGTGAATAAAGAGAAAGCTGAGAGGTAGCACGCTCTTATTATCCATATGGCAGAAGCTCTTATAGTTGCTCTCTGAAATCTATCAATGGGATAACTATGACGCAAAAAACAAGTAATAGAAATCTTCATCTGAAATTTTAGAATGCTGTTGGAAGAGAAGACAATCTAGAGCTAAGTTAAAAAAACAGTTTGAATCCATATAATCAAATTCAATTCCTCATCACTACAAGTGTATGCCAATATTTAAAATAGTATTTTTTCCATTGTCTTATTCCAGGATTTTTTTTTTAGTACTCTACATAATATTCAAATACTAAAGATCTGATCTATTGATCTACTGCTATTAGTGTCTGACCAACTTCAACCAAGGTTTGTATTAATTGTTAAATCTGTGCCCAATTTATGTTAGGTTATCTTAAAGACAATCTTCCCCCCTATAATCCTATCTGAACATTAAGAACAGTTTTAGGCATTCTGCATGTCTGTCTGTGTATTTTAAAAGTTTTTATTAGTACAGGTAGCCCTCGACTTACAACAGTTCATTTAGTGACCGAAGTTACGCCAAGGAAAAAAGTGACTTATGACCATTTTTCACAGTTGTGACCATTGTAGCATCTCCAATGTCACGTGATTTGCATTCGGATACTTGACAACCAACTCACATTTATGACAGTTGCAGGGTCCCGGAGTCATGTGACCCACTTTTATGACCTTCTGACCAGCAAAGTCAATGGGGAAACCAGGTTCACTTAGCAACCATGTTACTAATTTAACAACGGCTGTGATTCACTCAACTAAAGTGGCAAGACATAAAATGGGGCAAAACTCACTTAACAAATTTCCCACTTAACAACATATATTTTTGGCTCAGTTGTGGTTGTAAGTTGAGGACTACCTGTATATTGGATTGTGATACAGTCTTTTTCAAGAAACATTTATTAAGACTGCATACCCAATGTTATATTATCAGATAACAGGAACATAGCTGTAAGGAAATTCGGTACTATTTGATTTTATACCTTAAGACTTTCATATTAACTCATAAATGGGTGGGAAGGAACATGCCATCTCCCAACAAAAGAACAAAATTTAATCTAATATTCTTTTGGCAAACTCAATTATTTTCATATTCTTGTGCTGTGACTTTGATTACAACAATTTATCAACCTTCTTTATATTCAACAAAAATTATCTAGCCATCCCTCCAAAGAAAAGTTTAAAAAATACAAATCAACGCCCTTCTGTGAGAAAGTGATTATGAACAAAAAAGACAGGAAGATGCCATTTCAATAGATCAAATTGCCACAGTAACTCCCAACAATATGTATTTGGTGATGGCAGCAAATCAAAAAAATGGCATGGTGGCTCACAGCCAAGACTTGGGTTGCTTGTCTATGTCTATGTCACAACACAAAGTTGCTGAGAAACAGAAACCTTCAAACTATTTTCAGGGAACTACAGGAATTGAGCATAAGAAAGAACCATTAAAAAAAATGTGTTTGCTTTTTTTCTGAGTATTTTAAATTTATTATTGCTTAAAACACATACCAGGAATCTCTCTTTCAAAGATCAAGCTAGTATCTAGAACAGTGGTTCTCAACCTGTGGGTCGGGACCCCATTTGGGGTCGAACTACCATTTCACGGGGGGTCGCCAAACAACGCAGTCCGCCATTTTTTTCCCCTTTTCCTTAGCTGTGCTACTCCTTTTTATTCTATTGGCTTTTGAAAGCCAATAGAATAGACTCTCTTGAATAGAGTCTAATTCTATTGGCTTTCAAAAGCCAATAGGAATTGTCCAGGCTGTCTCTGCCCTGCTGAGCCTGCCAAAAGTCCCATTCTGCAAACGGTGCTGCACCAGTTGAGTAGTCCTCGACTTACGACCGGTTGAGTAGTCCTCGACTTACGACTGGTTGGGGGTCGCGGCATTAAAAAGGTTGAGAACTACTGATCTAGAACAATTGGCCATGCAAACACATTAGGTTTCTAAACTAATATTGCCAATGCACATGTACATGAAGAGTCACCTTCTAAACACCATCTCTGCTTAACAACTCATTCTTAGAAATATGTTCAATTTTTTGGGGAGCAGTTGACATGCTTTAAAGTAAGCACCACCCTCTAGCATCATATTCACATCACAATGGCTTTAGAGCACCTATAAGCAGTGCTTTTTTTGAAGGAAAAAAAAAAAGGTGCCGGAACTCTCACATGTCATACAACACACCTTGCCTACCCTACAAGGTTTCATCTAAAAAAGGTGCCGGAACTCCGTTCTGGGCATTCTATGACAAAAAAAGCCCTGCCTATAAGCATTCTGAGAAAATAAAAATAGTGAGTAGCTTCAACCCAGATTTTCTTTAAAACCAAACTCATCTGCAAAAATAAACACTATGGTAAGATAAGCTGGTAGTGGGATAAAGTATCTAGCAGATAAAAGAGGTATGGATAACCTAAGTACCACACCTTGAATTTGGAGGCATGAGGAGCCAACACTTCAATACTGGGAAACCCGGAATGAACAATGTTGTATTCATGGACTGAACCAGGATTTTGATTTTTTCCCCTTAGCCTGTGGAAAAGCAGTTGTTATTTTACCTCTGCTTTACACCATAAGAAGCAGAAAAAAAGAAGTTTGAGGCTACATAAAGTCCTACAGCAATGTTTTTCAAACTTGGCAAGAATGCTCAGGGTGGAATTCTGGAAGTTGATGTCCACCCATCTTAGAGTTGCCAAGATTGAAAACAAGTATCCTAAAGTTTCAGAATGATCACTTTTAAACTATGACAAGGAACTACCTCATCATTCATCTATCTGATGGGTGTTTTAACAATGGACCCATTTTGTTCATAAAAAAGTCTCTCCTGCCTACGGAGAACACCTGTACCCCAATCTCAAAATTTGAAATATACCCATCACGGCAAAGAAGATTGCACACTCTGATTTAGAACGTCTTTCTTTTTATTTACCTCATAGTGAGATCTGCGACATGTTCCTGAAGCCAACTTGTACTTGCAGCTGCAGAAAGAAGTGTGATAGTTCATTATTAACATAACATTCAAAATATCTTAAGTCTAATATGATCCTGCTCAAATCTGTATCAAGTTTAATTGCAGGCCAAGAGTTTATCTAACTGAAAATTTTACTTCACTAACAAATTACCTCCCCACCATAAAAAAAAAGCCAACAACAACCCTCTAAGAATTCATTGACTTTTTAAAAAAAATTATTTCTTGGAGCACTGGGTAAATGGAATTCCTTTTCTGATTATTGTTTTACTTCAGTGTATATTTAAAGGAAGTTCTACCTTTAAAATCAGCCTAAAGGTAAATTTAAATTAAGTGAACAACATATTATTCTACTAATTGAAAGCAGTTTTATATTATAGTCAAACTGCATTAAAAATAAAGACATAAATGACTTTATTCAATTATAATGCCAGCATGGTTATTATATTTTCAAAATACTGTTAACCAAAATCACAAGCACAATTGAGTAAGATTATTAGAACCTGAAAGTCAAGGATTATTTGTAGATACTATTGCAAGACTAAGCTGCCATCCAAATCACACATTTGAGTTACATTACGATTAAACACAAGACCCTGAAGAATTTGAATAGTGCACCCTTAGGTCAGAAAGAATTTGGGATGGGACATGAAAGGGCACATGAGGCTCCTAAAAGTTCTCCATCATTTTTTTTTCTTTTAAAGAATTTGCATAAATTGCATTAAGGACTGAAAGAAGATTACACCGATTAGGGCAACAAGCCAAAATTACAGGTAGTCCTCAACCTACAATCATCCATTTAACAACTGTCCGAAGTTACAACAGCACTGAAAAGTGACTTATGACCAATCCTTGCGCTTCTGACCATTGCAGCATCCCCATGGTCACATGATCAAAATTCAGGCACTTGGCAACCAGCATATAGTTACGATGGTTGCAGTATCCAAGGATCACGTGATCACTATATGTCACTTTCCCAGCTGGCCTCTGAGAAGCAAATCAGTGGGGGAAGCTGGGTTCACTTAACAGCTGTGTGATTCACTTAACAACTGCAGTGATTCTCTTAAGAACCATGGCAGAAAAGGTCATAAAATGAGCTCATTTAACAACCTCGATGCCTAACAACTGAAATTGTGATCAGAAGTCAAGGAGTACCTGTACTTTCTCTTGTTAGCTTTTCTCTCTCTTAGAATCAGCCACGCTTTGGGGTGGAGGGCTTGCGGGCCCGTCCAGATCTTGCAACTCTTAACATTTCAGATACGCAGATGTAGAAGTCCAAAGTCAGTTGCACAGTTCAGCATAAACATAACCATGTTTTTTTACATGAAGCCAGATCATCTAGATAAGACAGTTTCCAAAATCAAGTCCATCAAAAGAGAAAGTCCAGCAGCGCAGAGATCCCCAGGCAGGGAGTTATCATCTGCAGTGCAGTTGGGGAACATAAAAACAGAAACTGTTCCATATAGGAAATGCTGCCACCCTTTTTCACATTTTCTAAAGCATTGAAAATGAGGAAGCCTCGGCTACACATCTAGTTTCTTCTTAGTCCTTCTATGTGTTATCAAAGATTTAAGGGATCGAAGTTGTAGGTTTAGCGACAACAAATATCATTTGGCTACTAATTAATATATCATTTTTTCAGCTTTTATTAAATTAAATATATATATTTTCTTTTCAAAATTTTCATTATGTACCTTCAGACACATAAGCAAATGGTTTATTCTTAATCGAAAGCATTGTAAACAAGTTGAAAGTGAGTGCCGCAAAGGTACCAACCAGCAATCGACCCCTAAAAAAAAAAAAATCTTTATCAATATAGTATATCATCAGGTACAAAGAATAGTTAGGCTAATTATTCTTCATTGCCATTAAGCTCCATTTAGCTACAGTATTTTTTTTTAAAGTTAACCTGATTTGCTGTTATATACAACTCTTATGTAAATAGAGAAACTTATTAGCTGAGAGAGAAATAAACTACATATTTATTTATTACATTTATTACATTTCTGTACAGGACTTTCAGAGGTTTTATGAGAATGCATGAGCCTTTAATAGAGAAATGCCCACCCTCATGTCACCTGTTCTGTTGGTTTTTAGTCTTTAATCTATCTTAATCTTTACTTGTCTTTTTAATTTGCTGTAAACCAGCGGTCCCCAACCTTTCCAGTTTGGCAGACCGGCAGGGGTGAGGTGAGGAGAGGGAATGGTTCTGTGTGAATGGCAGGCACATGTGTGAGCGTGCGCAATTCCATTTACACAAGCTGCAGCACTTGCCATTCACGCAAATGGAGCTTCGTACGCACGTTCACCTGCCACTTGCACAGCCAGTTTCAAATGGGCTGCAGCCCAGGGATTGGGGGGGATCCCTGCTGTAAGCCCCCTAGAGTCACTGAGATGTGATGGGTGGTATACAAATTTAATAAATAAATAAATAAAAAACATCCATGGGTCCAGTTACAATCATAAAAACCCTGCAACTTACAAAAACTATAAAACCCAAAAACTAGACCTCAAATTTCAATAGCCCTTCAGAAGAGATCATTTTTCAACTGCTTCTGGATGGCAGCCAAAGTTGGAGTCAGCCTACATGGCAGTGGGAAGTCATTCTAGAGGGGATGATACTTTCATGGAAAAGCAGCATCTTAGCCCCTGTTGAAAACGGGGAAGCACTTACTGATGGGATTCTAAAGACTAAATAAGCAAACCCCATTCTAATGAGTGAACAAGAATGTAACTTGGGGCCAAGTCATAGAGGCCTTTCTATCTTAACATCAATACTTTAAATTGCAACAAAAGCCCGATGGGAAGACAATGCAGGGTCTGTAGCACAGATGTAATATAGTCCCACTGGCAAGTGTAAAATAGTCCACAGGCCACTGCATTTTTGGCCAACTGAAGCTTCCAAATGCCACATAGAGTGTGTGGCAGTAATTTAAGTAAACAGGTAGAGCTCCAATTGGCACGCTAGCCGAAGTTGGCCAAGGGTTCTACTGTCTGTGATTTCTACTTGTTGATTAAGTAGGAGCTCAATTTGTGGGCTCCTCAAGAGATATACTGGAGCTTCCAGAGCACTTTGATGGACAAACAGTAACTCTGTCTTACTAGGATTCAAATTTAACGAGTTGTCTCCCATCCAAACCCTCACAACTTTCAAACAAATAAAAGAAAAATGTTACATTTCTTGTAGTAGCCATGGAACCCAAAACTATAGGTGAAATTACAGATAACGAGGGTTACATATACATTAAATTTAAACTGTTATTATTAAATAGTAAAAACTTAAATAGATGGGGAAATCATCAAATTTGCAGATGACACCATGCTGGCAGGAACAGCCAACACTCCAGAAGACAAGCTTAGGATACAGGAGGATCTGGACAGACTTGAACACTGGGCACTATCTAACAAAATGAAATTCAATGGTGAAAAAAGTAAGATTCTACATTTAGGCAAGAAAAACCAAATGTACAGGTATAGTATGGGGGTACCTTGCTCATTAGTAGTAACTGTGAGAGGGACCTCGGAATCCTAGTGGACAATCACTTAAATATGAGCCAGCAGAGTGCTGCAGCTGCCAAAAAGGCCAACACAGTGCTGGACTGCATTAACAGAGGGATAGAATCAAGATCACGTGAAATATTAATACCACTTTACAATGCCTTGGTAAGGCCACACTTGGAATACTGCATCCAGTTTTGGTCACCACAATGTAAAAAAGATGTTGAGACTCTAGAAAGAGTACAGAGAAGAGCAACAAAGATGATTAGGGGACTGGAGACCAAAGTATATAAGGAAAGGCTGTCTAGTTTAATGAAGAGAAGGACGAGGGGGGACATGATAGCAGTATTCCAATATCTCAGGGGCTGCCACAAAGAAGAGGGAGTCAAGCTATTTTCCAAGGCGCCTGAAGGCAGGACAAGAAGCAACGGATGGAAACTAATCAAGGAGAGAAACAACCTAGAACTAAGGAGAAACTTCCTGACAGTTAGAACAATTAACCAGTGGAACAACTAGAAGTGGTGAATGCTCCAACACTGGAAGTTTTTAAGAAGAGACTGGACAGCCATTTGTCTGAAATGGTGTAGGGTTTCCTGGACTAGATGACCTCCAAGGTCCCTTCCAACTTTATTATTGTTATTATTATTATTATTGTTATTGTTATTATTATTATTATTATGGATCATCGCACAGTCAGCCAGATGTTGAGACTGGATTTGGCATTTTGTCTATCTATCGAGTCCTTACCCAGGACCTGGGATAGGCAGATGTAGATGTTTGATGGTATTACAGGTATCGTCGCAGGATGGAAGCAGTTCCTAGTAAGGCCGCCTTTTGCAATTGACTACTACTACTACTACTACTACTACTACTATTATTATTATATACATCAGACATAACCTTTTAAAAAGACTTCTGCCCAATTCATTGTGTGTATGATTTAAAGTTATCTCTCTATAAAATTCATTTGTATTAAATAGTTCATCAAATTCAAGTGGATTTTTGCCACTGACCTGAAAGTCTTGACAGCGTAATATCATTTTCAGTTTTCTGCTTTAAAGAATAAGGTAATGTACTAATGGCCTTATTAATTATGCAAACTTTATAGTAATATTTACTGTTATTTAATTATAAATGCTTACGTATGAATCTCTGGTTGTTCAAGAAATCGTTGAGCACTGAAAAACACAAGAATGTTATCTTTACAATCAACACTTATTTCTATTTAGAAATCTGTTAGTCACATATATAATCCTGCATGCACCAGCAAGTCTATAAGATTCACGGCAGATAAAACATCACGCTATCCTTTGGAACTGCTGGTTTTTAAAATAAGTGTTCTAGCACTGGAAATATTGTTATCTTTGACAATGATTAAACAGGTACATACAGTGCTTTTTTTCAAAAAAAAAAAAAAAAAGGTGCCGGAATTCACACCCGTCATACAACCTGCCTTGCCTACCCCACAAGATTCCATCCAAAAAAGGTGCTGGAACTCCGTTCTGGGCGTTTTATGAGAAAAAAAGCTCTGAGTACATATAAGCATAAGGAAGGGACATTCCTACCTTTCTTTAAGTATAAAGAGTGCTCCAAGTTGTGCAAGAACCGTAGAAGCAAATACTGCTAGGACTTCAAATCTCTCAAATCTGCAGTTTGGAAAATTAAGCATTTAAAAATCAGTACAAATAAAAAGATTAATCAGAAAGTAAAATGCACTAATTGGGATGGGTACAAGAAAGTATTAGAAGCTTAGAAAATTAACATGTTATTTACTTTTGCTCTTATTGTCTTTTTATTAAAAACATTCTTAATGTTAGCAGTATGTTAATGGCAGGCCAGATAATTTGGGAAGCTGGATAATTTCCATGTATTTTGGAATTATTCCATTCTATTAAGTTCCATGTTTTAATTCATGCCACCTAGCAATCAGGGAGCACCACTGATGAACAGTTCTGATTTTATATGTAAATTCCAAAAAAACCACGTTGAGCACCCTAAAGTTTGGATAGCTTAATTTTAGCTTTGTGGCAGATAGGACTATTTTATGCTACTCTTGTTGATGATAAACTATGTATTCTCTGCTATCTGTTCATAATGAATTTGCAAAGGCTAAATAAGAGACAAAGTGTTAACTTAGCTTTCGCTCATCTCTTGTGACCTTCACAAAGGTGCCCATACAGTTATCTCAGCAACAGTATGGACATATTTCTTTTGTTTGTTGCAATTTGGTATTTATATTGTTGTTATTCTTGTTATATTTTATAAGGTAAATTTAATTCATATAAGTAGCTTGCATAATACATTTGTATGACAAGAGAAGGTTATAAAATCTTGTTATGACAGATAAAAGGAGAGGGCCTATAGACACCAGTTTTACTATTCCTAATTGAAACAGAAATGTACATATTAGAGCTTCAATTAATTGTTCTAACTGATAGGAAATTTCTCCTTAGTTCTAGGTTGCTTCTCTCTTTGGTTAGTTTCCATCTGTTGTTTCTTGTCCTTCCTTCAGGCACCTTGGAGAATAGTTTGATTCCCTCTTCTTTGTGGAGCCCCTGAAATATTGGGACACTGCTATCATGCCACCCCTTGTCCTTCTCTTCATTAAATTAGACATGCCCAATTCCAGCAATAGTTCCTTATATGTTTTAGCCTCTGGTCCCCTAATCATCATTGTTGCTCTTCTCTGTACTCTTTCTAGAGTCTCAACATCTTTTTTACATCGTGATGACCAAAACTGAATGCAGTATTCCAAGTGTGTCCTTACCAGGGCATTGTAAAGAGGTATTAACACTTCACGTGATCTTGATTCTATCCCTCTGTTAATGCAGCGTAGCACGGTGTTGGCTTTTTTGGCAGCTGCAGCACTCTACTGGCTCATATTTAAGTGATTGTCCACTAGGATTCCAAGATCCCTCTCGCAGTTACTACTATTGAGCAAGGTACCACCTATACCGGCGGTAGGCAACCTTGGCTCTTTTAGGACTCTGGGAGTTGAAGTCCACAAGTCCTAAAAGAGCCAAGGTTGCCTATCCCTGACCTATACTATACCTGTGCATTTAGTTTTACTTGCCTAAATGTAGAACCTTACTTTTTTCCACCATTGAATTTCATTTTGTTAGATAACGCCCAGTGTTCAAGTCTGTCAAGATCCTCCTGTATCTTAAGCTTGTCTTCTGGAGTGTTGGCTATTCCTGCCAGCTTGGTGTCGTCTGCGAATTTGATGAGTTCCCCATCTATCCCCTCATCCAAATCATTGATGAAGATGTTGAAGAAAAGAACCCTGGGGACCCCACCACACACTTTCCTCCATATAGATGCAGTTCCATTGAGGACCACATGCTGAGTACGGCCGGTCAGCCAGCTACGAATCCATCTGGTGGTGATTCTGTCTAACCCACATTTTTCTATCTTACCAAGTAGTAGGTTGTGGTCTATTTTATCAAATGCCTTACTGAAGTCCAAGTAAATTATATCCACAGCATTCCTCTGGTCCACTAATTTTGTCACCTGGTCAAAGAATGCAATAAAATTTGTCTGGCATGGTCTGTTTTTGACAAAGCCATCTTGGCTTTTGGTAATGACTTTATTTGCCTCTAGGTGTTCGCTGATTTGTTGCTTGATTATCTTTTCCAGATAATTTAGCTACAGAGTTTGAACCCCAAGACATCAGAGATTTCAAAAATACAGATTACATTAAACACTTCCACTGAGAGATGTAAAATGAAATTTCAATTCTCGAAAATTTAAAATGCACTTTTTCCCTTATTTATTTATTTATTTAATTTTATTTATATGCAGCCCAATCCCAAAGGACTCAGGGCGGCGTACAAAATTATGTGACAAGAATGAGTTACTTCCATAAAGAGAGTAAAACCATGTAAAGGCCCAGAGACTATCATAAAACTCCACAAAGTCTGATCGGTTCTATCAACCAGAGACTGGTGATTTCTGGTTAGTAGTTTCATATTCAATCAAATGAATGTAGTATGCATATTTCAAATTAGCATCCTCTAATTTCTTGGACACAATTCAGCATAGAATTAAACATTACATATGTGCACTTTTAACGTGCACATTACAATTTTCTTCAACTTATAAAATCTCATTTAAACAAACATTGATTTAATAAATTAATAACGTATTTATTTCATAGTAAAATAATATTTTCAAAAAACCAACAAATACTAATTATCCAACTTACCCAAATGAATAAGAGGAACTTGGTTTCTTCATCATTACCCAATAACTTATTAAGCATGTTATTAAGCTAAATAAAAAAGGGAATGAAAATTAAGAGAAATCTAGCTATGAAAAATTACATAAAATAAATTCAGCATTTCAAAATTCAATTGTCATTTAACATATTGATGAATGGCAAATAACAAAATAAATCCTTAGTTTAACAGCCTACTGAAAGGGAGGTCAGTATATGAAAACTGAATATTTGTTTCTGTTATTATACCTTATAGTAATACAGTAGAGTTCCAGTGGTTTCTAGAACTAGTAAATATCCAGTGGTTTCCTGACCTGGCCTACATTAAATAAGGGATATTTAAAGGCTTGTCATTTATTTAAAAAGCAAATAGTTTTACCATCAAGTTGCACAGAAAACAACAGTGGGATTAAAGACATCAATGTTATTCATTAATATCCCACTTGCAGGGTTCCTATTACTACTGACTAGATTTGGCTGAAAGTAAGATGATCTCCTGTCCTGAAAGTGACACCTGTCCTGTCCTGTCCTGTCCTGCTGGCATCATCAATATTGACACTGCTATTGTTTAGGACTGAATAAAATGGAAAAGTTTTAAGGTAAATCTCATCTCAGTTGCAAAAAGTAATGGTACTTTTAGAACGTAATGCAAGAAAATATATACTGCTGTCATAATGGGACTTAAGCATGCTTAAATCTCATTTGGAAAATGTCTATTTCTGAGCTGTGTGTGACATTAGAAAACAATGGGAACAGTTTTTATGGACTTGTCTCCTATGCAATGAAAAGTCACTTAGGCTGCAATCCTATATCACATATCTGGCAATCCTTTCCACTTAATTCCATGGGATTTAATTTTGAGTAGATATAAATGGGATTTAATTTAATTTTGAGTAGATATAAATGGCACTACATCTTGCCTACTAACAGAAACAGGATTTATTAGGGAATATTAAAAACTTTTTACCATAACCCATAGATTTTTTCACAAGTGTTACAAAATTAACTCAGAAATTTAAAAAGGGAACATACCTGAAAAGATCAAAGATTGTTAGATAGGTATATGCCGTTAAAGCTGTGGAAAGAAGATGACCATTTTACTGTCACATGAACAAATGGTGAAAATATTTTAGTTTACCTGCCTTTAAGTAAATAAAGGTACTGTTGCTTTTAATAAACAATTGTTGGGCTTTATGCAATTTTCTATGTAATAAACATGCATCTACCAAATAAATCACAAAACACATCAAGGAAGTTGTTTAGGCCTCTAGGCCTTTTTTTGTAGGGTGGAATCCATCAGAGGGTTGGAGTTGTTTTGTGAATTTTGTGTGGGAATTTGCAGGTGTTATTGTGAATGGCATAATTGCTTCTCTAGCCATTCACACATCTTTCCCCATGCATTAGCAGCCACTTCCTGCCTGCCAGTCTGCTTGCAAGCTATCTGGGAATTGCAATTTCCTGCCAGCTTTAACACTCACTGGTTGTTAAAAGCCAGCAGGATTTTGTGAAGAGATGCTCATTTAATGACTCATGATCCTGACTTAACAATGGCAACGGGGACTGCAAGGATTGCCATCATAAGCAATGCAGGCATAAATCACATTGCGTCTTATAAACACATGATTTAGAGATGGAAGTTCCAGTTCCAAATTGCAGTCATTATGCAAGGGCTATCGGTGGTTGCAATATTTGTTTCAATTCTTAGACATTTTAGAAACAATGTCATCATAATGCATGTGCATCCATTTAATAGAATTGTAAATATCAATAAATGTAAGCAGAGTTTTACATTTAGTAGAATTAATTTTGCTTCATCTTAATAGCTGTTTACAATTTGAATAAAGAAATAATCAAATCAGTGACAAGAATGACTTTAGGAACAGAAAACAGTAAAAAAATAAGGGGAATCAATGACACTCACAAATATAACCATTTTTTGTCAATATTAAACCACTTTTGTATATCTACAATCATCTCATTAAAAGGATAACATACCTATGCTGTTTGTAGAACTACACCACATAAGCAGGAACGCAGTGCATGTTATATTTATTGCACCAAACAACAAGATCTTCCATGACTGTAAATAACAACAGTGGAAACAATTTTAATAAAGTAGGTATTATTGGGGAAAAAAACTCTATAATCCTCAGATAAAATATTGAACATTAAGCTCACATTTCCCATGGCTTTAATCTCTTTGCTGAAGAAAGAATGCCAGAGCATAATCAATGTAGGATCAATGTATTCATAATTTTTCAAATAGTGATTTATTGAACGACAAGTAGTCCTCAATTTATGACTATTGGAACCAGAATATCGCTTGCTAAGCAAGGTGATTGTTAAGTGAGTTTTACCCAATTTTAAAACCTTTTTTGCCACAGTTAACTGAATCACTACAGTTTAATGAATCCAGCTTCCCCCATTGACTTGGACTGTTGGAAGCCTACTAGGAAGGTCATAATTGGAAATCACATGACCTTAGGATACTGTAAATACATGCGTTGCCAAGCACCCACATTTTGATCTTGTGACCATATGGATGCTGAGATGGCTATAAGTGTGAGGACTGGCCGTAAGTCACTTTATTTTAGTGCTATTATAGCTCCAAACAGTCACTAAATGAACAAGTCAGGGGCTACCTGTACAATTAAGTGCAACAGCTTTTTCTCTTCAGCACTACACAGAGTTCTTTGGCACAGAATACTACTGTATTTGTTAAGCAAACTCAATAAAAATAAAACAAATACAAGTTGACAGCTGCGCTATTGACAAGGAAATGTCTAAAAGTCAAAAACACACCCACATAGATATAACCTAAATGATATAACAAATAGAAAAAGCTAAATCTCAGATATTCACAACTAATAGAGAAAATACTAACTGGAACTTTTTCCCCATTTGTTTATTTGTCAGACTGACATTTTACCTTCTCATCAGCACATAACATTCAACAGGGCTAAAAGGAATAACTATAAAATATTATAAACATAATGAAAACACAATTAAATCATATTAGAAAATTCCAGAAAATAAGAATAAAATCTCAACATGCTTCCCATCAGCAAAACCCACTTCCATGTCAAAGGCATACTTATAGATATTAAGCATATTTCAATCTCTCTATCCTGCAATATTGCTTAATAATAGTATGTTAGATGCATCTCATAACATAGAAGTTAGAGTTATGCAATTTATAAGAATAAATTAAAAAGTTTAGCAATAACAAAGAAACAAATATAAGGAAAGTATGGGGGAGTAATTGGAACATGAAATAGGATAAAAGTGATTGAGGAACAAATCAGAGTCACTGATTCTGTATACATATATATAAGACTCTTTAAAAAAATAAGTATCTATGAATTAAAATGTTTTCTTGCCAGTAAATGAAAACACTTACCCTTCTATCAGCAGCTACTGTTCTAATTTCCTGTGTTAACTTGCCAAGAAGAGACCGCTGTGATTTGCGAAACAAATATATTGTTCCCTACAAACAAGGTACCAAAAGTTGTTTACTAAATTTTCTATTCTTTTCTAACATTCCAAGTCATGAACTTGATTTCTACATGCAATCTATCACAATAAACATTTCCGTGCTTGCTAACTTTTAAAAAGTAACAAAACATTCACTGAAGGTTAATCCACTAATATATACACCCTATATAAAAAGTGTGCCTTACCCTTATTAAAATGCCAGGTTTTTGAGATGTAAAAAAAAACACCCCAAGATAAATCACTTCAGAATTTTTCCACCTTTAATGCAACACATAAGCTCTACAATTCAAATGAAAAACAAACTGACATCTTTTTTTGGGGGGGGGAAGAAATAATAAATACTAGATTAATGGGGCTGCATAAGTGTGCATACCCTCTTATAAGTAGCTGTGTTCAGAATTAACCAGTCACATTCAAACTAATGATAAATAGTAGTCAGTACACACCTGCCATCAATTAAGGTAACTTTGATCAAGCTCATATAAGGTTCAGCTGTACTAGTAAGATTTTTCTGATATTTACTCAGTTACCTCTCACAGCAGGGGTCTTCAAACTTGGCCCTTTTATGATTTGTGGACTTCAACTCCCAGAATTAATTCTGGGAGTTGAAGTCCACAAGTCATAAAAGGGCCAAGTTTGAAGACTCCTGACTTACAGCAAAAGACTCCTGACTTACAGCAAAAGCCATGGTCTGTAAAGAACTTACAAAGTATAAAGGGATCTCATTTCAGAAGAATGGTACAAAAAAATTCCAAAGCATTGGATATACCATGAAACACAATGAAGACAAGTGCAGAAAATATGGCCCATCGGTGACATTACCAAGAACTGTATGGACCTCCAAAATTGATTAAATTGATTAAAAAAACAAGAAAACTCTTCTGAGAGGTTGCCAAGAGGACTACAGCAATATTAAAGGAGTTGCAGGAATTTCTGGCAAGTACTGGTTGTATACTACATGTTACAACAACCTCCTGTGGTTACATATGTCTAGGCTGTGGGATAGGACAGCAAGATGGAAGCCTTTTCTTACAAAGAAAAAGATCCAAGCCTGGCTACATTTTGCAAAAACCTACATCAAGTCTAACAAAAGCATGAGAGAAAAATGTGTTATGGTCTTATGAGATCAGTGTTGAACCTTTTAGCCATAATTTGAAAAAGTATGTTTGGCAGAAAAACAACACTGCACATCCCCAAAAGTGCACCATACGCATATTGAAGCATGGTGATGGCAGCATCATACTTTAGGGTGGCTTTTCTTCAGCTGGAACTGGGCCTTTAATTAAGGTGGAGGGAATTATGAACAGTTCCTAATATCAGAATGTTAGCACAAAACCTTGAGGCTTCTGCTAAAATGCGGAAGATGAAAAGGCATTTCAACTTTCAACACAACACCCAAAGCATGCCTCCAAAAGAAAGGCTTCACCAAAAGATGATGAAAGGTTTGGAATGGCTCAGCCAGAACCCAGATCTAAATCCAATTTAAAATCTATGGGATGATCTGGAAAGGGCTGTCCACAAGAGATGCCCTTGCAATGTGCAAGGAAGAGTGGGCAAAGTTTCCCAAGGAAGATGTGCCATGCTGATAGGCCCCTATTCCAAAAGACTGAATGATGTCATAAAATCAAAAGGTGCTTCAACAAAGTATTAGTTTAAGAGTGTGCATCTTTATGTAAACACATTATTGTATTTTTTATTTTCCCCCCTTAAAAAGTTTCATTTTGTTTTTTCAATTGAAAGCTTACACGTTACATTAAAGGTGGAAAAAATTCTGAAGTGATTTATCTTGGTTTGTTTTTTATATCTCAAAAACCTGGCATTTTAACAGGGCTGGATAGACTTTCTATATCCACTGTATTGCCAGCTAGCTTTAAAATATTCACTCATTGCATTTTTACCCTATTTATTTCCTGAACCTCAAGAGTCTTAGGCGGCTTTATGATCACCAAAACATTTCTTGGGTTGAGATCAGACACCTTAGGATTTTTATGGCTGAAAAAGGATCTGAACCCAGACAACGCAGTAAGCTCATTGTTTGCTCCTGTCCCTTGAACAGAGACCTCAGGTACTTATTTATTCACTAATAAGTTACACTTTTGCTCTTCCATAGAGGTATAAGGATACCGATGCTAAGGGAAGCAAGTAAATCTTTTTCTTGACATGTGACTAAAAACAACTACTTGTAACTACTTATTGATCAAATTCCTAATTAAACACTTCCGGGCCATCTACCGTAGTCTGAGCCAAGCCATCCCTCCAATCACTGCACCACACTTCTTCTCAGGGAAACCCCACACATCTGATAAAGCGGGCTACATGCATCCCACCTACATTTTCGCTTTTAAAATGAAACGGGACTCCCAGTTGTAGCAGATTAAGAAGTTGCCTTCTGCACACTTGGAGCTTTCTGTGCAAAAAAGCTTGGCATCTTCCCCTTGGAAAGCTGTCTCAGTCTTGACAGCCACCCTTCCCTGCTGCAGGGACGTCGCCCCCTTTCAAGAACTGGGAAGCCGGTGTCAATGTCCCCCTCCTAGCATCCTTCTCACGGCTGCACCACGTTTGACACCGACTCGCCACGCAGCGTCCAACGCCCTCAACCGCCCCCCAAGATGGGAACTCACCATGTTGCGGAAGGAGCGGCTCCCAACGGGGCCGGAAAAGGCGGGCGTCTCCTGTCACCAAAGAAAGGAGTACGGTAGGAGTCGAATTAGCTTGACGTGTAATTGGCCAACCCCGGAACTAAACAGGAAGTGACGCGACCTCGGCTCCACGCTCGTCCCCAGTCGAGGCAGAGAGAGATTCGCGTGTGCTGGTGTTCCGTTGCCTTGGAGAGTGCATGCGCTACTGCGGTGCTACCAATAAAGTTTAAATTGGATCATTTCTCGATGGGGACAAATTCATTATTTCGGGATGCTGTCCAATAACGGTGATAAGAATGCCTTGTAGCAGCGATAGAAATATTAGAGCTGTGGGCACAGTAGGCGTCTAAATCAGAGGTGGGGAACTATGGCCCCTTTAATGACTTGCGGACTTCTACTCCCAGAATTCCTGAGCCAGCATGGCTGGCTATGAAATTCTGGGAATTGAAATCTACAAGTCTTAAAAGGGCCATAGTTCCCCGCCCGATTCAGTACTCTTCAGAATTCCTCAGCGCATGTGTGTTGGACTTCAGTCTTATAATTTCCAGTCAGCTCCCTGGGAATTCTAAGGAACTGTAGTTCAGCATAATTAGGGGACACTAATAGAGGAATCGACTCTTCTTCCCATTAAATACAGGGTGCAGTCTGTCACAGATCTGGCTCGCATCTTTTAAGAAGCTGCAGTCATAACATACAAAGTGAAATTGACCGTTTTGTGTCCAAGTCACAAACCAGCTGACCGCATCTTAATCCAACATGCTGGAACAACATTAAGCATACAATCTGGAAATAAGGAATTTCCTGACAGAACGATTTATCAATGGAACAGCTTGCCTCCTGGAATGTTTCAAGAAAACACTGGACAACCATTTGTCTGGTAAGGTATAAAGACTTGGGTAGGAGATTAGCCTAGATTTCTAAGGTCCCTTCCAACCCTATTATTCAATATGATGCGAGATTGTGCATCAGATTAACAAAATGTAGACTTAAATGACTTCTGATTAGTAGTGCTAGGAACTCTTTGCATGAAAACACCTCTATTTTGCAAGCCTTTGAAAAGTATTCAAGACATATTTTAAAGCGTACCATTTCATTTTTGTTTTGTATAAACGGACTGAGAATACTGTTTGTGCATGATGCTAATGTAATCTGTCCTTCACTAAGACTTATTTCCAAACATATTTAATACCTGGCTTTCCTAGTTCTTAAAAGCAGGAAAGTTTACTTTCATTTTTATATAGTATTCTCTGTCTGATGCTATCCAAATAAAAATGCCCAACCAGCAAAGAAAACCAGTTGAAAACAGCTTTTTCCGAAAGTCATGGCAATACCAGTTGCTTTTTAAAAAATGTTTTTATTCGCATGCTAACTCTATAGTATGCCTTCCTAGCTGGGTTGTTTTTTTTTAGTTTAGTTACAGAAGTAGTCACTAATATTCTGAAGCGCCACATAATAGCCATGCAAAAATATATTATTGTGAAAATTATCTTGTGGATTCATTTATAGGATAATTAAGATATCAAGATGGAAGTATGTTGTATTTTATAATTGTTTTGAGTATAATAAAAAACACGAATGTAAACATACATCTCACAATCTGTTTTAACTTACTTAAATAAAATATTGAATAGTCAATTACTGTTTCCACATTTTTATTTAGAATCTAACAATGGAGGAAATGAAAAGGTCTGTTTCAACATAATAAATTAGAATTTCAATAGTTAGATTTTAGTCTTATTTCAGAGCTAGCAAATGGAAATATCCCATAACAAAGTCATTATCAGCAGAAGAAAGTAATACTGTAGGCAAGAGATCTGCAAGTCATGAGTCAGGAACTCAACATGGAATAAAACTGAGTATGAAGACAAACTTCAACAAATAAGTTTGTCAATCTAATTCTACATGAATATTTTTCATATTTATACACATTCTGTTTTCCTAATATTTCATATTGTGATAGCTAATACCAACAGCTAAAATATGAGAATTTTTTCAAAATTAATTCAAAGTTGTCTCTTCATAGCTGAAAATCTGTTCAATAAAAATCCTAATTTTAATAGCACCTTTGATTTAAAATTAAAAACATATTTACATGTTAGGTTTTTATTAAATGAGATAACTAATTGAGAAGAACATTCTTTACAGAAAAGGTAACAAAGGCCTGTTAGGTCTTTCAGGAAGTTATATGTATGGGTAGGAGTGCTTCCCCACCCCCATAAATAGCATAATTAAAGGAAACTTTAAATTTATTCCATAGTAGGTAATCTTACAAATGTTTGCTGAAATAGCACAAACCCTTTTTTAGAAAAATCTGAAAACAAAATTTTAAATTGTCTAAGATATCTGTTCACTAGACATCTAAGAAGCGTTACATAAAAGCCCAGATGATGTAAAGAAACATCAGTTAAAAATCCAACTGCTACGGTGGTTGCTTGATAACTGAATATACACAAGGCAACAGTTTATGCTATTCAATAAACAAATCCTACATCCACCTTGGAATGAATTTGGAGCCTTCATCAGATTCTTATTAAAGCTAGCACATTAAAAAAAAACCTGGAGGAGCCTAGTACACTATTTTCCTAGAAAACACAGAAGTATTATTAAAATGGTATGAGACAAATATCAACTATGTTTCTCACACATCTTTCTATTAAAGAGAACTGAAATAAGGACATGCTTACAATCAGTACTGGATTATGGCTTGAATGAAAATATATTAAGTATTGTCTTTATCTTAAAGCAACATTTATTGCATAAAAGCAAACAATATTCCACCATATTTCAAAATTTGCTAAATATTTATACATAATTGAGATTTCAGATGTTCCCCCTCCCAAAAAATGCTTAAGAATAAGAAAAGTAGCATTGCCTTTACCAAAGATAATATACACAAAGCTAAAAATTCAACCATTTGAATTCTTATGAAATAAGCTACAATACAGTGAATATACTAGGATCTGTAGAATCTGTTCAAGCACCTGAAAGCACTTGCTTAAAAAGGAATTAAACGAAATGACTTGGCAGTTTTAATTCTATTTTTATATATCTAAATCTCCTAGTAATACTGATTCAAACAGCATAACAACAATTCTTGCCTGAGAAAATTTTTGCTTTAATTAATCAGGCTTTGATTACAAGCATAATTAAGAAATGCTTTAGCCCTTAAATTAAAATAAGGCAGATTACGGCAGCCTTTACTTAAAGCAGTGTTTCTCAACATTGCTGGCTGTGGAATTCTGGGAGTTGAAGTCCACATGCCTTAAAATTGTCAAGGTTGAGAAACACTGACTTAAAGCCTTGGATGAGAAGTGAAAAAAAAATTGAGTTGCCTTTTCGAAAAAGCACCTTTGGGACAACCCTGACCTGGATGATTGAGAATCTCCATAGGCAGTCTTTTTTTTTTTGAAGTCTGATGTATTTGTACATTTAAAATGGCAATTCTGATATTCCTAACTGAGATTTCAGGCAATTTTATTTTTATTTTAAAAATAAAAATGTTCAATGACCTTAGATTAGATTATCCAATTGTAGAATAAAGAGTTATACGATCAGGCAGCTGTAGACAAGTATAATTTGTTCAAGGGTTAAATCTAATACAACTTTAAATAAGACTGTAAGATTTCCTTATTGTATACTGGGCCAGTATGAAGAGATGAAATGTACAGCAGGAGTAGCTAGTGTCATCAGTTTTTCACAAATGTCTTTTCCTGCAGGGGTCCCCAACCCCCAGGCCACAGCCCACTACTGGGCCATAACTCTTTGGAATCAGGCTGCGTAAGTGGTGGACGAGCGTGGGCATGCACATTCCCCACTTGCCCAGGCACATGCCTGGGTACTCCATGTGCACGAGCAACAGGCACACATGCCCGCCGCTTGCTCAAATGGAGCTTTGCGTGAATGCTTGCCGGGCACTTGTGTGGAACCATCCCCTCTCCGACCATGCTGGTCTGCAAAGCTGGAAATGTTGGGAAACTCCATTGTATAACAAACAGCTTTAGCAAGAATGTTTATGCTATGCATTATTTCTGTATTCAGATGCATTAATATGGTCTTGAAATTATTTCAAAGATAAAACAGGAAAGGAGGCTTTAAATTTATTCCATAGTAGGTACATCTTACAAATATTTGTTGAAGTTGGAGACGTGCATGTGTACATATCCCCCACACACATACTTTACGTGTAAGCAAAGAAAATTGGAGGAAAAGAGAGAAGTATATTAAAGGGTATCCACAATACTATGAAACCTAGATCTTCAGATTCTCAAAGATAAATCACAATTAATTTACTATTAGTTTCAGGTATTAAAATACTTGCCCTATTCAATCAAGCTGTAAGAACCAAGTAATATACTTTTATTATATTTAAATAAAGCTGTGATGGTTTAATAACTTATACAAAATTTAGTAACAGCTAAACAGAATAATATCTTATTTTTTAGATTTGCTTTTGCACATAAGGCATAATTTCTTCAATAAGCAACTGAAGAGATCTCTATAAAAATGTGAAAATCTTAGTTTAAGATTAAGAGTATTGTTAATTTGCAAATAATATGTATTGTCAAATAAAATTTAAATAAAGTTCATAAAATCCTGCTTCAAGTTTAAAAGTACTTTTCAAAGACTAATGATAACATTTTAACAGAAATGTTTTTCTTACTCTTCTATCCCTGTTTCTCTATCCTTTTGCACAATTACTAAATTTAAAAAAATGAATTAAGTCTTTATTCACATATCCACTTCATACCCTTTCTATTATAGCAAACATATAACTGAATAAATTATTCATTTTGTAAACACCAATCTTATTAGACAGAGAAGTAAATCCATCTGTTCCTTTAATATTAAACGCCCATTATATTACAAGTGATTTAATAAAAAAAATTAAAAATGGTTGTATAACTATAAACTGAAGCACATGGTAGATATAAAAGACCAATTATACAAGTAATTACAGCTATGATCACTTGCATATCTTAGAAAATCACCAGAATGGAAAATTCCCTGGCTTTTGGTCATTGTGGACACAAAAACTAGCACTGAAGAGAAACTGTCGTTGATTCAAATTAATACTATTTCACACTTTGACTATGATACCAAAACAAGATCTTATTATGGATATTTATAAATGCTCTGAAAAACTCCTGCAGAAAGAAATGGACAGCTTTAAGCCATTTGGTATACCAATTTGTTATATTACTATATTGACTGTGGAACTTCACAAATAGAAAAGATTACACAGATGCTTTACACTGTGGACCTTTCAAAATAATATTCTTATGCATATGGATTTATGTTTAATTTGGCACATTATCAATACACAAGAAACTGAAAACAAGGCTTAGTGATTAAGAAAAACACAACCAAAGCAAATATCATGAGCAACCTTTAGAAAATACAAAAAAAGGACACAAAGTACATCTTTCCTATCATTCATTTGGTAGAATTCTCTTCCCCATTTTACTGTGCTCTCAAAATTTGTTGGGTATTAAAGTTAAGGGAACTCATCATCAACTATTAAAAATCAGTCTTGCCTTTTAGTGCAGATACTGCTGATATCTTGTAAACATTCAGCATTAGTTTGAATCAGCTGTCCCTTGCTGACAATATTCTCCCCTCCTTTGATAAAATTGTTGATCAAACTGTAGTGTCTCCAAAGGCTTTGTTCCAGCGAATGTAAGCTTCTAGGGTTTGAGGGCTAAGGCTGCATTTTATTTTCTTCAAAGACTCGTTGAAATCTGACAGCCGAATGTTTCTCATCTAAAAGGAAAGAAAAAAATAAGCTGCCTTAGGTCTCACATATTATTGGATTTAAAGTTTTTTTATTAAACTTATTTTTTCAAAAATTATTAGCATGGGACTACCACCAGCATTGAGAGCAAAAGTAATTCAACTTGGATAAATATTACTATGTTGATTCCACTAGATGGCGCTAAAGTATGTGAATCAAATTCAGCAAATCATTTCAGGCCATTCCCCCCCCCCCATTTCTAATTTACTAACATGACTTAAAATACAAAGTACTTAAGCCAACAACATATTCTGATCTCTCTGCTCCCTATTTCAGTCTTTACATTCTTTACATCTCTGAAAATTTAGAGGACAGAGAATCTACTAACACAGTGCCATAATAGGAAAGGGAGAAGTTCAACATTAAGCTGGGAAAACTTAAGAACTTTCCAGAGCATACTAAAAGTTGAAGGATGGAATAGAATAATCTATTCTGTACTGATGAAATGGTAATTTTTACACTACAGTGCTGTATAAGTGGCTATGTGTCTAGTCTTCTTTATGAAGTATTGTATATTTTTAGCTGCATTTATGTTCTCAAATATAAAATTATGGTTGGTAATTATCTACTTTGAGGATTTTTTTCTGTGACATAGTTTTGAGGTATTTGGTTGCTTTTTAGTAGTATTGGATTTTTTTGATATTACATAGAACAACTTGACAACTTAGTACATTGTAAACTGAATACATGTGATCTACTCTCAAAAAAGGGTATCCAAATAATACTTAAAAGATTTTGAACTTTCAGTTGTGCTCTGAAAACAATAAAAATACAAAAGATTAAAAAAATGACTGAATTATTTAAGTTAGCAAAGCACATACCTCACTAGCAGACATGTTCTTCACCTGTTCTGGTTTTAATTCTGTAAATTAAAAGAAACATAATTAATGAGTTTCAAATCAATATATCCTGTCAGAAGGCTTAATATCTAAGTAAGACAACTCTGAATTCTGGCAATAAAGCTGATTTAAACAAAATGTTAAGTTCATGTTTCTTCATCTTGAAGATCATAAGGTTCTAGGCAGGTCATGAACACATGACCATGGGAATGCTGCAACAGTCATTAAGTGAAAACTGATCATGAGTCATTTTTTTAGTGTCGTAACTTCAAACAATCACTAAACAAATGGTTGTAAGTTGAGGACTTCCTGTATTAGGCTTTCACAGGTTTGGGGAGTTTTTACAAGTTGAAGGAATTTGCTTCCCAAAAGGCTTTCCACTCTCACTCCCATTCTTAAAAGATCCCAAAACAAGAAAAAAAATTAAATGTTTCTTTAAATATTTTCAAATTCTGATACATTGCTATAGAATGCAAAGAGGACTGTTGTTAACAGATAATTAATATATAATTATCTATTATCTGTTAATTAATAGATATTTGCTAATGTTACCTACAATAAAACAAAAAGAAAATATTTTAGATTTAACAATCTGATCCACTAAATTTGTATAAGTTTGCATCCTGTCTTTTTATCACTTTAGTTATTATAGCTTTTTAGACTTCACTTTAATGTTATTCTTTTTATTGTCACATTAATTATATTTTATTCTAGTGTTATCGGGGACATGAGGGCTCAGCAGTTAAAAGACGCTGAGCTTGTCAGCCGGAAAGTGGACAGCCCAGCGCTGCAGGATGGGGCGGGTTCTTGCCCCCGCTCCTATTTTCAAAAGATGCAAATGCTGAGTAGATAAATAGGTACCACTTCCCAACACTTTGGTGGGAAAGTAACAGTCTTCCAGGTGCCTCAGTGTGTATAGTCATGCTGGCGACATGATCACAGAAAATTTCTTTGGACAACGCTGACTCTGTTGGCTAAGAAACAGAAATGAACATCACCCATAGAGTCAGACATGACTGGAAAGAGGAAACCTTTATATTTTTTTTACTAGGTTTCAATGTTTAGTTTGCTTATGTTGTACTTTTAGCCTCTCCTTACTGGATTGGTTGCAAATTCTGTTATATACTGTCTTGGTGCTAGTCTACAATCCTATTGAAAATTTGATGTGTGTATGTTTGTGCGTGTATACCTATGTATATATGCATGCATGCATCTAATTTACAAAGTACAACCAATGTTAGCTAGTCAAATTTGATTATTTAAATTATTTTTAAAATGCTACTAGCTATAGCAAGGAGTTGAGCAAACTAAACTATTTCTTTAGATCTTAGCTTAACCAAGTGTTTCTCAACCTTGACAATTTTAAGGCATGTGGACTTCAACTCCCAGAATTCCACAGCCAGCATTGCTGGCTGTGGAATTCTGGGAGTTGAAGTCCACATGCCTTAAAATTGTCAAGGTTGAGAAACACTGGCTTAACCGAAGATACATATATGAGCTCTTTTTAGAGCCACCTTACAGATGCATTTTATTCAAAGCTAATCATGCTTACCTCGTATAGGGCCCAACGCTGCATCTTTTGCCAATGCTGTTAAGTCACTACCTGAATATCCATCTGTCATTCTTAGAAGAGAACACAATTTCAAAAATTTATATCCTCTATAGAAAGCTAATAAAAGTTTACAGTGCTACATTCTTTCTTTATTATAAAGCAGTACAATAAAAATTAATAAAATAATTAGGTCCATAGTTCAGAAAGACTTTTCAATATTTAATGTCTAATATTAATGATATTAAATTGTAGTCTTATCATTTAAGATGTCAGCGTACTATACGTGATGAGAGATGTTTCTTTATAAACAGTGAGGAAGAGAAACATGTCTATGCCATTACTCAGAGTCAGTTATATTTAGCATTTCTTTTTATGAAGAACAGCTGCAAATATCACTATGCACAGTCTATCTAGATTTAGCAATAAGTTAGAATTTACTCACCTAGCTAACTGTGCCAATTCCTTTTGGGTTAATGGATTTCCTTGTTTGCTCAAGAGATTTTTTAGTAAAAGCAGTCGAGTCTGCAAAATATAACATTCTCTATTTGCAATCTCACCTTTGGTTAAAGCAAGCAAAGACACTATACATTTGAAAATTGTGCAGAATGATTTTCACTTTGCAAAGACAACATAGAAAATTAGATCTGAAATCATATGGGGTAGAAGTGAAGTTACATTTTAAAAGTGTTCTTCTGCTTCTATGTCTTGCTATTATACAAATATTAGGAAAATACTAATAGCTTAATAGAAACACAGCAAATTGCAAGAGTTCAGCATTCTTCTATTCAATCTATAATACCAGTTCCAATCAGACTATCCTGGCTTCTCACATATTTTAACGTATTCGTTAAATATGTGAAAAGCTATGAAAATCTGATTGGGACTGATACTGAAGGCAATGAACAATTCACAGTTGGCTATAATTTGCTGTAATATCTAATACACTGTGGGTTTAAATAGATATCCCATGACAGGCACTAGATTTGGCCTGGCACACATGCAAATATACCATTTAAACTTAATTGCCTGTTGCTTGAAAGTTTTCTGTTGCATAAAAGTGAAAGCTGAGATTTCCAGATATATGAAAAATAAGCAAACTGCAAAGCAGAAAGATGAATTCTATTTATGCAGTCCTTTTACAAATAAGGCATTCTCAAAACTGATATAATGACAGTTAAACTTCCATCCACATTTTGATTAATTCTGATGTAATGGTAATTTGTCCTTCAGCTACAATTTAGGTTCAAACTGTAACTTATTTATAGGAAAATAATCAGAAAGTTAAGAAAGAAAATGTACAGGGCAGGGAAATGAGCCAAAAGTGGACAATTGACAAAGGCAAAGGATAAAAAAGAAGGAAAACAAAAGAAAAAGAGTATTATTATAGAGATTCTAGTAGCCCTTGTGATAGAAGCATTCATCCTATAATTAAACATGAACAAACCAATTTTTGTATTATTAGTCTACATTCAATAATTGAATAAGAGAGATTCTTACTTAAAAATATCACCATAATCTACATACCTCTTCATTGGGTAATGATACATATACTCGTTTGGTGAATCGCCTGAAAAATAAATATTAATATAAAAGTTCTACTTAAGATTCCAAATATGATAAAAGTTTCAAACTGGGATTGTAGTTAGCAAAAATTGATTTTTTAACTTTAAAATTTAAAATTGGCACTATTTGTATTGCTAGCAATTAACATTAGAATTTCAAGTTCCGTTTTGTTATCAGCTCAGCTGGCTCTGAGAAGTGAGAATTGTAAATGAGATGATGAGGAGAAAGATACACTGGACTTGAGAAAGTGGAACACAGGCAAAGAAAGAAAAGGGGGAAATGAGAAAACGGGAAACAAATAGAAATAGATAAGCCTCAATTCAACATCAAAGCAGCTGCACTTTTCACTTAATTGCATTTACTTGGTGGGTGTTTGTTTCTGTAGGTCTAAGTTCCAATTCTGTATGAATGTGCCAATTTAACTGGCTAACTTAATAATTTTTATTAATACATAATTTATTTTTAAATTTAATTTTATTTTTAAATAAATTAGTAATTGTATAAAAATGACATCTTACTCATAAAATATATAGCTCAGGGTGGCTTTACTGATTAGAATGTAACAGTGAAAACAGGGGTGTTGTCATGAATAATAGGAGGAGGGAGGAATCACAAGTGTCATTAATAAAATTTAAATTCAAGCCCAATACATTTTAGAAAATGTGTTGCTTTTTCAATTGTGCCACAAAAATAGAAACAGTGCAAAAATGGATACCAGAATAATTTTCTATACAGGTAGTCCTTGACTTATGACCAGTCACTTAGCAACCATCCAAAGTTACAACAGACCCCTGCAAAAAATTACCTGTGACCTGGATTTGAAGTTCCAACATCCACCACCACCACCCCACAGTCATGTGACTGCATTTTGACTGCACTTGGCAACCAGCCTGCTGTTTGCAGCATCCACACTCACATGACTATGATTGATGTGTATTGTGCTGGAAACTAGCATTTACTCTCATTGCGAGACAATGGATTTGCTTAATGATCGCTGCAAAAACCATCATAAAATCATGTAGCTGCCTTAACTTATGATTGTCATGATATACAACAGAAATTTTGGGTTACATTATGGCTGTAAGTCGAGGACTACCTGAACCTAGTCAAAGTCTAAAATAAAATAACCCAAATTATAAACAATTAAACAAATTATTTACAAAAAATGTCCTTTTATTTTTTGAACTCAAATGTCAAGAGTAAGAAAGATAGTATTTAACTTCTACTGAATTGCCCATTTTTAGAACTATTCTTTTCAGACTACAGTATTGCAAATCATTCTTGTGTCTTTTGTATTGTGTACATTTCTATAGTATCCTTGAAAAAGCAATAAATATTCCAAAATACATAGGGACACTAAATTTTCCTGGCAGTTGGGATTCTTCCCTTTATGATGACTAGAATTTGGTCAGTTATTTTGAAATAACTGATATACATGTAAGAAGGGACATCTGAGAACTGAGAGATGTTTTGAAACACAATGGCATTTGGCCAGAAATACCTCTCCATTTTCAGTGAATAGAAGTTTATATTTCATTTTTGGTGTATTTAACCAAAATGAAGATAAATCATTGACTTGTATCAAAATATAGTTAGAAAATATTTCCAACAATTCATTCCAACAATATTTCCAGTAAATATATCATCTAGGACAGTGACGGCGAACCTATGGCACGCGTGCCAGAGGCGGCACTCGGAGCCCTCTCTGTGGGCACACGTGCCGTTGCCCCAGCCTCGCCTCCCCCCATAACCCCCTCACCAGCCCCCCTGGAGGAGAGTCGCCCCCAAGCATGGCCCATACAGAGCAGCGCAGCCAAGGACATGGCGCCAGGCAGTGTAGACAAGACTCTGCCCTCACACTCCATCTGGGACAGTTGATGCTGCGGGGTGCAGGCAGAGGGCGTGGCCGCCATGGCGCTGCTGGGCTGCCTGGGCGATCTGCAGTGGGCCCTGGAGGCGGTGAGTGGCCCTGCGGGCAGGCAGGGTGAGGGCGGAGCATGGGAGGGACAGGGAGTGGAGCAGGGGCGGAGCCTGTTTTGGGGCACTCGGTCTCTAAAAGGTTCGCCATCACTGATCTAGGAAAATATTTACTGTGCATTTTTTTCATTTTTTACCAAAATAAATATACTTTTACACGTGGTGTATCAAATTAGTGTTCAAGAAGAGTATCAAGGGTAAATTTACATTATATATTCCTAATTAATTATGCATGAATTAAAATACCTGAGTACAGCATCATCAAGCTCCTGTGGCCTATTGGTTGCTCCCATTACTAAAATGCGATCTTCTCCTGAAGACTGTACCTTTTTTCCCCAAGAAAGCAAAATTCAGACAGAATCAGAAAAGGAAACATCACACTATAATATATATATATATATATATATATATATATATATATATATATATATATATATATATATATATATATATATATATATATATATATATTGTTGTAATTGGGAACAAACCATTTGCACATCACCATGCAGTGGCAATGCAGAAACCATTATTATTTTGAGGAGTTTAATGACATATTATGATTTTCTCCTTCTTATTAGGAAAAGTCCAGAAGGTTTTTTTCTTGTTTACTGAATAAAGGAGAAAAGGGGAGGGGAATCTTCAGGTAGCTTCAAAACTTTTCTCACTGTGGGAGTCATACGCCACCAAGTCAAGGGGAGGTCTTGCAGTCTCCCGACAATCAGTAACAGTCATGATGGCAGGTTTTGATAAAAACCATGGGGTTTGTCATGGTTGACTCGCTACACAACCCTGCTCACAACGAGATAATAGTAACGGGAGGGGAGAGGGGAGGCATTGGCATGTAAGGAAAGTTTGTGAGGGAACTCTGGAATGCAAGTGTGTCACCTGGAAGCGTGAGACAGACCCAAACCCCAAGGTCATCAACTGGGCATGTCCAAGGCAGACAGGCTGTTTCCAAAATAAAGAAAGTGCAACTGATTGATGGATAATGGAAGATTTGTGCACGAAAACATCAGAACTGGCTTTTCTACTTCTGTACTACAGTATATGGCTTTTCAGTAAAGTTACATTCTTGGGAGAAAAAATGTCCCAGGAGTTTCTTTTGCTGTTTAATGCATAGGACAGTTGACAGGGATGTTGTTTGTTGTGAGCTTCTGCATTGGATCTAGCATTAGGTACTGTGGAAACTGGTCGCTCTTGTGGTATTTCTGCTGTTGTTATTAAGATGCTCCTGGCAGCTTGTAAAAGATTGGGTATTATCTTGCTTGTTATGTATGCTTTTAACTCTGCCTGAGGTAATAATAAAGCTTAAAGTCATTTTATTCACTGGTGTGTTTATTGTCTCTAGATCCAAAAGAACCTGATAACTGCCCTGAAACTTGGCAAAGCACACCACTTTGCTCTTATGTATGAAAACTGTATTTCACTGTAGACTACATTGTAAACATGTACATAATTTCATTGCGTTTGGTGGTCTTGAATTTTAACAGCAAGCACATTGAAAAATACTTAAAGCTTAGCAAAAAAGGGGGGCAAAGAACAGCAACAGTTCATTTTTTAGCTTGACCGTTTTCTTTAAAAAATAATAATAAAAGAAGTTTAATCTTTAGAGTTAAAAATACTATATAACTGCCTTTAACACTCAGCACCGTAATACTGTTCCACAATTAATACTTACACCATCAAACTCTATTAAGAATTCTGTTTTTAAACGTCGGCTAGCATCATGTTCACCTTCTCTTCTTTCACATAATAAACTATCCACTTCATCTAAAATATAAATATAAAATAAAATAGCTTGTCATTTTATTCTGTGAGCACAGTGACACATATTAAAAATAAAATTATGTTGACTGTTCTCAAAAGAAAGTATACTGTATATCATATACATATACATCATATATATATGTGTGTGTGTATGTACCGTATATGCCGGCGTATTAGGCGACCCGGCGTATAAGACGACCCCCGTCTTTATAGCTGGGCCGCATTCCTAGAACGTCGTCTTATACGCCGGAAACTACCAGTATTTCCGGCGTATAAGACGACTCGGCGTATAAGACGACCCCTGTCTTTGGCGCCGATTTCAGCGCTCACGGAAGTCATCTTATACGCCGGCATTTACGGTATATGTGTACACACACACACACACACACGTACATATATATTCACACACACATACACATATGTATATATCACTGTCCATTTTGAATACATGGCTGAAAATATGCAATCAATATTAAATGTATACTTTAAAACAGTTTACAATTGTTTATATAATGCAATACTCTATATTCTAAATAGCATATATTGTTCAAGAGTTCTTAAGTAAGTTACCAACATTTTTAGGAATGACAAGAATTAAAATGTATGGTCCAAGTTATTAATATATTATCTGCATGGTTTATCTTAAAAATCTAAACAAAGCAGATCTGGTTAGTGCCTGACTAGGAAACCCATCAGGAAATCTTATGAAACGAGACTAGACCAAGAAGTTTAGAAAAAAGAGAAGGTAATGGGAATCCATTTTGATTCATTGGTTAAGAAAATTAACATCTACCTGAGAAGGTCATTGATTGGGGAAAATTTTGCTTTTTTAAAAAAAATCCTGTTCTCCAGTATGTATTATCATAAATGGAATGAAATAAATTTAAAAGTGTGGATTAAGAACAATTCAACTCAATCTAATAAAATGGATAGTAAATAGTTATTCTCAATGAAATGCTATTTTTAAAAGGTTTATGGTTTAAATTTAAGTCAAAATTTTGACTAGTCAGATACATGAAATTTTACCAATAAAAATGATAGAAGGCTGAAGTTCTCTAGCTACTGCAAAAAGTGCACGGACTAGTTTCTCTCCTTCACCAACCTAAGGGAAAAAAAACAAAGAAGGTATCTACCTCAAATTGATTGAATAACATTCTTAACAACAGGCATATTATCAGTTAATAGATCAACTAGCTTGATCTATTCTATGACTCTGACATTAAATTACTATATTTACTATAATTAAATTATTTTTAAAACATTCATTAAAGTTTCCATTTCTACCTCTCTCTACAGCCAGGCACACAAAAATAAAGCTTTTTTTCAGCATACTTATTTCTGTAGCACCATGTCCAAGAGGACTTCATCTACACAGGCATTTTTCAGAGGGACATAGATGACTTAAGAGGGGGAAGGGAAGACACTGAAAATTTTTCTTCTAAGATCTTTTATAATACAGCTTTGACACTTTACATATTCCAGTGGAATAAAATTTGACACAGATGTAGATGCAAAATTAGAAATAGTTTAGAAACAGATAGTTATTTCCAATGTACTGGAATCTGGTACAAATGCGGCTCCATTTATTTTTTTCAAAACTTCCTAAGACATCTCTTTAACCACAACCATAATATAATGTTGCTACTCACATATTTTGATGTCAGACTTGCAGCACTTATGTTAAAGAAGGTTGAATTTGATTCTGCAGCCACTGCTTTGGCCTATATTAAAAAATATTGGTTTAAGACTGCAACAAAATACAAAGCGTATAGCATCTTTCAGCCATGTGTAAGCATAATATAATTATCTTTATTAGCCAGAGTTTTGCTGAACTGTAAATTTCAATCTATCTTTAGCAATATATGTTATACTTTTAAATGTCTGCTGATATAGTTCAGAATTTACAGCCGAGGTGGTGCAGCAGTTAGAGTGCAGTACTGCAGGCCACTTTAGCTGACTGTTCAGCAGGTCAGCGGTTCAAATCTCACCGGCTCAAGGTTGACTCAGCCTTCCATCCTTCCGAGGTAGGTAAAATGAGGACCCAGATTGTTGGGGGCAATGTAAAATATATATACATTGCTTACTGGTGTACACCGCTTAGAGAGTGCTTGCACTTAAAGCGGTATATAAGTCTCATAAATAAATAAATAAATAAATAAATAAATTTTCTTGTAAGATACTGTGAAATTCTGAGCAGTCTTCCAACCGCAGTATCCTTGACTCAACAAGGAACTACTCTCTTATTTCAAAATGATAGGAAAGAATATTCCTTGTGTACACATGTTTGTTTCCTGTCTTAAAATGACAGAAAAACACACTACCAATTTTCAGCAAATATAAACAGATTTAGAAGGCGTTCTGGGGGAACCAAAGAGGACATTGCCTGCCCACGTGATAGAGGAAAGCAGCTCTCTTACCAGCATCGTCTTCCCGTTTCCTGGTGGGCCAAACAACAACAATCCACGTGCAGGAGCCCTAAGTCCTGTAAATAACTAGAAGATCGACTGAGTTACATTTTGTTCCATTTTAGTAATTTTACTGCTGAGAGAAGTTATTATTAATGTGTTTTGCAGAAGATATTAAAAACACTGGCCATCCAGATCACTGGATACTTTGCCCCTGAGCTCTATTTTTTTCTGCTTGATAAGAGTCAAGGAAAAATAGGCCAAAACAGACCACAGACAAAAAGAATCAAATAATACAAAAGAAAATTATAAAATGAATCCTTAAATTACTAAATTTAAGAGATGTTATTTGGAGCTCAACAAGCTATAAGTGCTATACAAACAATACACTTTCTAGAATAGAATTAATTTAATTTTTTACTATTATAACTTGTTAATCATTTTTCAAGCAACTAATGCTATTATAGCCTATTAACCAGGATTGCATCAGTTCTACGTTTTCTTCACAAATTAATATCTAGGTGTAAGACATTTGATAGAAGAAAAAAGAGACAGCAAAACTGCCTCAAATTGGCTGTTCTGGCAATATATACTATGGATTTATTTTGTTATCTTTTATATTTTATATTATCTGTTATATTTATCTTAAGAGAATGAACATGTAACATACAGCATATATTAGTTGGAATGATTGTATTATAGCATCAACAACAAACTTGTCAATTTTTTTTCTTGCAGTATCTTTAAATATAGCTTGAAGAGAAATTTAATTAAGATGTGAAAATGTGATATACAATAGTATATAAATGAAACACAATGGAGGTCTTTAGACTTTCATTGTGATACTTTTCACAAGAGACCAAACATTAATAAGAAAAGACTACAATAGCCATGCATCATCAAAATTCACATCTCAAAAATTCACACCAAATGGATACAAGCAGGGTTTTTAAACAAACAATGAAGCACAAGAATTATGCCTCATAGGTAAATATAAAACATATAAATTTCAGAACAAAATCAACATTTAATTACCATTTGATTTTTAAATATTCAAGAATATGGTTTCTGGTAATTTAGATTACATTTTCCACTTTCTATTATTAGAGATGGATTGCAATGGCATTTGTTCATTCAATTGTCAGAGAACTGAACCTGGACTAATTGCACTTAACTACTTATTAATGGTAATGTTATTTCAATTGTCAATTGATGCGAAAATGCAAAATCTGAACTCTGGTGCCAAAGTCTACTGAAAGATTTAGAAACCAAGATGACTTGGTCAAATATTTATATGTATGAACTCTAAATCAAATATTCACCTGCAAATTTTTAAGAGTCAAATCAAAACTATTTTCTGAAAGTTGTGTTCAAAATTGTTCAAATTGCAGCAGAGATAGGAAGGCTGAGGGTTATTAAGAATGGCCATCTCATTTAATGGTCATCACTGCTTGCAGCTGTAATGGCGAGCTCCATTACAGTCATAAGTCAAAGATTATCTGTAGACTGATTGTATCTTTCATACTAGTTTGGAGGTACACTTTGCCTGCCAACAAACTAAACAGAAGGGCAACTTTCACTTTCATTAGGTTTCTGATCCAGCTCAGCAAGTTCACTGGCAGAATAGAAGAGCAATTTTGTCAGTTCTTCCATTCTACTGTAGATTCCTAGAACAAAAAAATCTGGTTCTAAAAATTGACCATCTGGAGAATATGGAAGAGTCAGTGGTAGGTGGTGCATATGAAGAGATGATTAAAATTGTTTCTCTTTCTCTCTTCGTAGGAAAGGAGGATTTTCAGCATAATTTCATTTAGAAATTGATGATGCCAATTGGAAGGACCTAAAACTGTTTTAACTGAAAATATAATTATGCTTTGTTTAAACTTTACTACTGAAGACCTAGCAGCCTGGATGTATAGTAGGGGAGTAGATAACATTCATTTTAGCTCATTATTGAGCATGTGATTAATTTCTACTTATTAATCTATGGAATACAATCAAAGTATTGGACCAATAAAAGCTTTTACTCCAGCATTTAATTATATACTCCAATTTGACTTTGATACTCACAAAACTGTGAGTAATAATTACACATTAAATAGATGCAAATATAATAAGTATACATGTTACTTGAATACATCCAAAATGCTAAATTTAAAAAAAAATCCATAGAAGATGCAATAAAACAAGCCATGAAACAGATTGCTTACTTCAGGTCTAAGTGATGGAAGGATAACAATTTCTTGCAGTGCCTGTTTAGCCAACTCTTGCCCAGCAATATCATCAAAATTGACAGATGGCCCACTAACAAATACAGAATAGTAATTAGTGCAACAATGGGTTTCTCATTCTTCCAGAGTGCAGCTGAGTATTTCACACTCTTTGTCTCAACTGATTTTTTTTAAAGAAAACCCCTTACAGTTAAGAAATTATTCTCATGTACTGTATATTAAATATTATTATTTTTAAGAATATTTTTATTTCTTCCAATCCAAATCTTAAACAGGTGCAGAAAAAAATATTACTTGCCCTGAAAATAATTACACTTGATATTTACTCAAAAGCATTCCCATCCCACCATCCACCCATAAAATACCGCTGGCACTTACCTGTCTACAATTTCATTGAGAATAAGATTAGCAAGGTTACTATCCACATTTTTGAAAATCTTCGTGTCTTTCTTTTTTCGTACAGCAGATGAAGGAGTAGAAGGCTTGGTGGTTCTATTATTTTTTGGAGTAGCCTAAGAAAATGATTATTTCAAATGTATTTTAATATTATTGCGAAAAAAAGAATTAGATAGCAGTTTCAGTAATCTAAAGGAAACAAATTTCCATTCAGCATCTGGCTAATCAATTAAACAAACCTTTGATATGATACAAGTGAACTTTACTAAAAAAAAAATACAGGAAAAACAATTAATTAAATGTTGCAAAAGATTAATGAAATATTGATCATGTGCCATAAAGGTAATGTCAATTCTTAACAACCATATATATTTTCTCTGTGGTAATATAACATATTGTTATAAATTCAGGAAAGGAAAGAAAAAAGAGAGCATAAATATATAATAGAATATGGAAAGGAACCATTATAGTAAAATGCATAATTATTCTATAGATAAGTAGAGTTCTATATCTCTAAACAAAAAACCTATATCCCATATTATTTATCAAAGTTTTAATTGCTTTTAAAAAACTAATTCTTTGAATAAATAAGAGACAAAATGTAATAATCCTTCCTTCCAATGCCTCACATAGCATGCTGATAAAAAGTAAAGGTAAAATCTGTATAAGAACTCTGTATTACCACTTTAAGATTATGGCAGTGATATTCTAAACTATTTTTTTCTACTTTGAAAATAATAAACCCAGAAGAAAATAAACTCAGTATCACCATATGCACTTTCTAAATCTATGGTTTTAAAACTGTCAGCAAAATAAATTGGAATAGTTGAATTCTTAACTATCCTTAATAGTTCTACTAAACTGAGAATAAAAATCTCTGTGCGCATCATACAACATTGGCTTTTTATTAATTTTAAAAATGACAAATTTTAGCTTTTCCAACAGAAAATTGTCCTACATTTTTTATCATTTTGCTTCTTCTTCTCCATATATTTTTTCATGCCAATATTTTCCAGGCATCTTCTTGCAAATACCCATAACCCAGAAATCATTTCTCACCCCTTATCCTTGGAGCAGTTTTGCAACCCAGTTGCCAGCTTGTAAAATATGAGCAGAATCCAGCTATTTCCAATGGTAGAAGCCTCCCATCGGCAAAAGAGGGAATATATACCAGGGGTCTGCAACCACCAGTCCGTGGACCGGTACCGGGCTGTAGCATGCCAGCAACCGATCTGCACAAACAAGCAAAGCCCCATCCGTGGGATGCAGGCAGCACACAAAACCACGCACCCTCCTGTCCATGGAAAAACCTCTCTCCATAGAACTGGTCCCTGGTGCCCAAAAGATTGGGGACCTCTGCTATATACTAAATTCATTCTTCCCCTTATTATTTTCTGTCAAATCACTGAAAAGTATTTTTCTACTCTTATAGAAGATATATTCTACTGCTAACAAGAATGACACAAGATACATCCACAACCTCAATCAAAATTAAGAGCAAAATAACATGAAGTAGTCTTTCTTCCTAAAATGAGTTTGGGATTACAAACTTATACAATTCTCTTACAGTAAATCACATCTTTGCTCCATTACTTCTATGGTATATTCTAGATAACAGTCTCTACCAGCCTTTCCTAGTAATATCAATAACTGAACTTAGATTTTGTTGCATGCAAAACATGCCATTTATAAAATTCCTTAATTTTGAATTGCAATTTTTCTATTTCCTAAATTGACAAATATGCAATATACTGTATATAGAAGCTAGTGTCCTACCTTCTGAGTTGCAGCTGAAGGAACTCTAGGTGCAGAAAAATTAGAAATTCCGGTATAACTAGGTGTTCTTTGGTGCCCAGAAAATCCTCCGGATCCAGCCTTTGCCACAGATTTTGAACGAGGAAGTGAATTACTACTGTGAGACAATGGATCCTTCTTTTTCGGAACAGTTCCATTTTCTACAAAGAAAAAGCACAAATATGTTACTACGCAAAACATTCAAGTCAACTAGTTGCACATTTATTTATTTTTAAATTGTTACCATCTATCAATTTAGTTGATTTATAAGACTGATTTCATAAAACAACTCTAGGTAATAACATAGGGTTAAATCTCATAATACAAAATAAACAATAATATAAAAACACATAATTTAATGTACTTATCTTAGCCATTATAGAAAAGTGGATAAACTCATTATCAGTGTGAACAGATCACCTCTGAAACATAATATGATTTATTTTAATAACGTTGCTTTCTGTTTGCACTGGTATTTTGTAAATTTTATTGAGGAAGCTAAGCTTTCTAAGTTTTATTAGAAAATTTTAGAACTAAAGCTATTATTATTTCCTGCAGGCATAGCCAACATATCTAAACACTGGGCTATACTATGTATACTAAAAATGTCCAAAGCTTAAGAATTCTTATAGTTTTTAAAAAAACAAAAAACTCTTAGAATATTTATTTAACTTTGACCAGGCAGCATACAAATATTGCAGTATTCAATCAACATGAATTTAGAATGAAAGACAGTACAGGTTATCTTCGCTTAACAATAACAATTAGGACCACTGAGAGAGACATCACATGGCTGTGACTTGCAATTTTACCGCTGGCTTCTCCATTGACTCTGCTTGTCATAAGCTAGCTGTAGAGCAATCAAATGGTGATCATGTGATTGTGCTATGCTGCAACAGTCATAAACAGCCACAGGCTGTGAAGCACCAAATCTCAATCACGTGACTACAGAGATATTGCAAGAATCATAAGTACAAAGACCAGTCATAAAGTTATTTTATATAATACCATAGCTTGGAATGGTCGCTAAACAGAACAGTCATTAAATGAGGACTACCTATAATCAAAAATTCAGCAGAAGAATGTACATCTACAGAAGCATAAAAATAAAGTTATAATGTAACTATGAAGACCAATATAAAAACTCTAAAGGAATATATTGTCTCACTACTTACATACGTCCCATTTACCAGTGACACATGGCTCCTGACAGATTACTGTCTTGAGAATGCCTCCTTTGATGGCAAAAGATTACCCACCCCTGACCAATGCAGTGAAATTTTGGATCTAAGTGGAATTAAATTAACATATATGGACTTTTTTTTACCTAATTACATTTTCACTATTCTAGATTATTTGATAAAGGTTATCAACAAGAAAGCAAGCAGTTAAAATATTTCTGAATACATCTTAGAAAGTTAGATTCACTCTTCACTTAACATTATGCACTTATTTATCAAATTTATATGGTCACCCAACTCATGAGAAGTGACTCTGGCTAGTGTACAACAATAAAATATATATTTATAAATGAATATTTAAAAATAAACAAATCAGCTTTAAAATGGAGATAATTAAAACTAAAAATGCATGCAAAATATGTAGCACCTCTCCAATATTTTCAGAATGAATCATAAAGGATTAAAAAGTATCAGACAAACCAAGCAACAATAAAGTTGTCAACATTATTTGCTTTGATATCTAAAAGATGGCAGCAAAGACACCATGTAAGATGCCTAGGAAGAAGACTCTATCGGATGGATACTAGAGCCACAAGAGTAACAAAGAAGTTTATATTAATGTCTGTGAAAGTTATAGAAAAACTAGGGCTTAGGACACCCGGCTCCAAATAAGAGTTTACATTCTGTTTTAAAATAGTGAAAAGACAAAGTACTAACTAGATTTCCAGACAAGCTTCACCAGACAGTGCAGGAGTGGATAACTAAAACTTAAAAGATGCTCACTTGTTGTAAGCCACTTAGTTACCTTGAACCGTCAAGATGTGCAACAAATAAATTTAATAAATAAATAAAACCATGCAATAATTATTTTAAGAGTACCCAGGAAACTGGCTCATCTGGCTCAAACAGTGAAAATATTACACACCATTGAACAACAGAATTTGGGTTTTGGCGGGAGGTGGATGACCATGCATTGAACTTAGATACAAGTGTATGTTAAATAAAAATATTACAGTAATATTAACTGGACCAATGTATCATCAACCGGCATTCTAGCCAAAATGGTTGATGTCTGCTTCGCTAGGCAACCATTTTCTATTTGTGCTCCTGACAAGATCTTCTGTCTCCTGGTCTTTGTACAAGCCCACTGTTGATTCTAAATAACATTTTAGTATTTACAGTGCCTCACCTGACCCAAGTATAAAAATGAGATAGAATATTTGCCTGTTTAGTACATATCTCTTCAATACTATGTATATTATCATAATATCCAACTCCCAATTCGTTAATGATTTTATACAATGATTCCTTATATGTTAAAAGCACAGCCAATGTGGATTTCAAATAAATTTGGAATTTGAGATGTGATAAAAGATACTATGTAATAATAGAAAATACCCATAGCTCCGGTTTTAGTTTTTGGTAGTGGTTTGCTCTCCAAGCTTGTTTCAATTTAGTTTCTGAATGTTTCATTACCAGATTAGGTAATATAATCAGTAGGATTTTCTTGTTTTATTGCTGCATATTTTGTTTTGATACGGTAGATATGAGAGACATCCCCCTAATTAATTAGGTGCTGGGAAAACCAAACCCACCTGACTGGAGATGTCCATTGCGGCATACCAGGTTAGTATTGTCACTACGGACTTCCATTTGCAGCTTGGGAATTGGCTTAACTGCCTGCATCTTCTCTATGCAACAGAACAGAGGGAGGAAAAAGGACAAATAAAAGACAAAAAATGAACCAATGAAAGTTATGTATACTTAGTTGGCTTGATTAGGATTAAAGTTACAAAACTAATGTTTACAATGTTATGAAGTCAAATCTGATTAATAAAATACAATTTATGTAAAACTGTGAACTGCAGTCCATAACTGCGTAATTAGAAATAGCAAAGAAAAGAATTAGTGGGGTACTTTAAAATCAATGTGCAAAGAATTATGATGAGTTCTACATATCATCTAAGACAATCTACAACTTGTTGGTTCAACCTGCAGCTATATCTATACTAAATTTTGTTAACAAATATTTGTTTATGATAAGTATTTCATTTTAAGCAGCTAATGTATATTTGTAATCTACAGGTTATTTCAAGTTGCTACACAATTCTATAAATAAGAGCACAAGAGCCCTCCTTTTTGATCAAGTGAACATTCCCTAATTATTAAGTAATTGTTACATAATTGAAATAAAATTACTACTTTTCTATCAATAGGATTTAGCACTGCATTATAACAGAATTAGACAGATGAAGCTCGCAAGTGATCATTAAAAAATTATAAAACTTCCACTATTCCTTATACTACTTTTAGTTATCAGTTATAATCTTTTGAAATGAACAACTTATTAGATATCATCCTGAATTTGACTGTCAGCAATATTTAGATTCACAAATAACCCCTTTGTAAAATCATGATCCTTTTCTTTTTTTAGAAAACAGATCAATACCCATCTCTTTTTTTACTTCAAAAATAAAACTATTTAAAAAAAATCAATAGCTCTTCAATACACATTTAATAAAAAATGGCATTCCGTAATTACAACTTTGTCACTATTTCAGAACAACCTAGATTCCTTTTTGATACTATCATATATTTTCACGTAAAAGGGTACTGCAATATACCTTTAACTAAAATAGGCATCACACAAAATAGAAATTCAATTTTTAATATATGCATTTTTTGAAAAAAGATTCTTACTCAGCCCTTCCTAAAATATTAAATAAGATGGCCAAAGTTTAAAGAAACTGAAGACTGTGATATCTATCTCATATTTCTTCTCTATGGTCCTTTCTTGTATACTATTACACAACAGTCCATAGTCAAAAAGATGGCCATTTCATCACATGGCAAAGACATATGTATACAGAACATTTATTCCATAACATCTACATCAACCTTTCTCAACTTGGAGTCTGCAAGAGGTCTCTAAGATTCTGTAAGACATCATGATTGGAAAAACATTTTTTTTTAACAAATGCAATGCTAGCATTCATAATGATGGGGATTTTTATACATCACAACTCAGCTTCTGGCCCAACACTTTGCTGTTGTTGTAAATGGTGACAAATGTGGGTTGTGTAGGTTACAAATAATTGTATTGTGAACTTTTCATAAATGTTTGTGAAAAATACTTGTTTATGCAGGGATTCATTAAGATCTGAAAATTATTTCAAAGGTTTCTCCAGAATAAAAATTTTGAGAAAGGCTGATTTAAGACAATTCATTAAGACTGCTAAATCATTTCTAAAAGTTGTATAAAAATTATACTTCCTTTATTCAGCTCGAGGGTAAAACACTAGTTTAGAGCTACTGTTCATATGCATGAAAAATATAATCAGTAATGAAAAAATTCCACTGCCTTCATGCTTATTTCAAAACATAATTCACAGGACTCATATTTGCTTACACATAAAATCTTGACCTTCCACAAGAATTACTGATAACACAGCTGAGTAGAAATAGAAACTGGGCATATTGCCAATTATATACTATGGATAAGAATATTAGTAGCAAAACCATACTGTACATATATTTTCAAGCTACTTTTATTTCTAAGTGCTTTCTTCCCTTTACAGATCCAAACTGTTTATTAAAGAGCTGGGAAATCAATGAAAAGGACAGGATAACAGCTGAAGAATAAATGAAGGAATTTAGGCCATAGATCAAATAGATCTGAAGATCAATTTGATGTTTAATATCATGGTGGAAAAAAACCATTTATTCCTCTACTACCCCATTATATTTACACAGAGCAGAAAAGCATTGCATTTCTCAGTGTGTGACATCTCCTTTGAAGGGAGCCAGAACATATTATTCTCTGTAGTTAAAACTGAGAAGACCCACCTGAACTGAATGAACATCATTGCTCAGGAAGGTCTTAGAGATATAACCTGTACAATTGCTTGTATTGCTTTGGCTTGCACATCACAAGAATGCAAATGGTGTATGGCAATATAAAAACTAGGAACTACCTACTCAACTGTCCTCAGCTTAAGAACAATCATCAGTACCTCTTTGTAAATGTAAACAATTATCAGTATCTCAGCTTAAAGCAGTGGTTCTCAACCTGTGGGTCGGGACCCCATTTGGGGTCGAACGACCATTTCACAGGGGTCGCCAAACAAGGCTGTCCACCATTTTTTCCCTTTTCTTTGGCCACGCCCCTGGCACACGGTGATGTATAAGTGGTTGGGGGTCACCACAGCATGGGGAACTGTATTATGGGGTCGCGGCATTAGAAAGGTTGAGAACCACTGGCTTAAAGGAACTAATAAGATCTCTATTGAAAACACTCATTTAACCTGGGGAGATCTGCGCAAATATTGAATAATCTGAAATATTCAGTTTTTAGAAAAGCGATTGATCAGGTTGTAACTTTCTCATTCAGATATATCTTGATGATTCTAATTATTTGGATCAATGGGTTTTCAATAAGAATATGACATGAAACTACTTTGATGATGTCTACAAACTGGATGATGCAGCCTTGTTAAATCTCTTGGATCCTTCAGTGGCTTTCAGACTATTTAACATAGTATTCTTCTACTTCATCTGACTGATGTGGGCCTTGCAATATTCTTTTGCAATTTCCAGTAATTCTGTATAGGCCTAGTTGAAAAGGTAGTGTTGGATCACTATCTTTAACAGCTAAATCATTAACACTAGAGTCCCAAATAGTTGTATCCTGTCCCCTATTCTGTTTGGTATCGTCCTGGAGAGTTTCAGAGTAAGATATCATAAATATTACTTGGTGCTCCCTATCATCTAACTCCAAGAAAGTAATTGAATTCTGGAAAATGACTTGAATGGGCCAAATAAGCTAAAATTAAATCCAATAAGAGAGGGTTTCAATTATAAACAGAACTGAAATGTGGGACTGATGCTCAACCTTACTGGAAGGCAATACACTGTCTAAAAGCAGACCAACAGTCTGCAAGTACTATTTTATCTTCTAATTCACAAGTGACAAAGATACTTGAAAAGCACCCAGAAGCTTCAGCTAGTATAGAATGCAGCAGTGTAAACAACTTTGGATGCCCCTAGGACACAGGTCGGCAACCTGCGGCTCCGGAGCCACATGTGGCTCTTTGAGCCTTCCCCTGTGGCTCCCAGCCTCCTCTGCCTTTGCAGAGAGAGACAGAGACAGGCAATTGCAGAGAGAGACAGAGACAGAGAGAGGCAATTGCGCTTCCCTGCTTCTCTCTCTCTCTCTCTCTCTCTCTCTCTCTCTCTGTGTGTGTGTGTGTGTGCGCGCGCGCGCACTCACAGCATTCTCTGAGGAGCTGAAAAGCTTACTGGGCAGAGCTCCTCCCTTTGCTGCGTCTCTGCAGGAAGCAGGAAGGGCAGGAGATAGCTAGCTAGCCCAGCTAGGCTGACTCAGGAATTCTGGGAGTTGAAGTCCATGTGTCATAAAAGAGACGAGGTTGCTTACCCCTGAGCTTGTTGGACAACAGCTTGAAGCTTGCCAGGTGAGCAGCAGATAGGAGGGGGGGGGGATAAAGAGAGAGAGAGGGGGGAGGGGGAGAGAGAGAGGGGGGGGGAAGAGGAGTGGCAGATCAAGGGCAGATAGAGAGGGAGGGAGGGAGAGAGACAGAGAGAGAGAGAGACCCTTTTGACATCTAAAATGAAGATAACACTGCATATATCCTTTTTTTACCTTTGTGTGTATGTAATTTTATTCTTTTAAAGCATTCTCTTGGTGATCATTGTTTTAATAGTATGGATATTCCCAAGAGTCATATTTTTACTTTTATTTTTAATGTGTGTGTGTATGTATGTGTGTGTGTGTGTGTGTGTATGTATGTGTGTGTGTGTATACATATATATATGTATGTATGTATGTACACGCACATACACACACACACACACACACACACACACTTATAATAAAGGTAAAAAAGGATATATGCAGTGTTATCTTCATTTTAGATATCAAAAGGGTTTTGCGGCTCCCGGTGTTTTGTTTTTGGTGGGAAACGGGTCCAAGTGGCTCTTTGAGTGTTTTGGGTTGCCTACCCCTGCCCTAGGATGATGCATGTAACACCTCTGCTATGTGAGCTGAACTGAGTGCCAGTTTGCTTCTGGATCCAATTCAAGATATTGGTTAAGACCTTAAAAACCCTACATGTCATGGGCCCAGATTACTACAAAACCATTTTCACCCTGTTATGTTGGCCTGTCTCACTTGATCAGGCAGGGAAAGTATGCTGTGGATCAGTTAAAGAATGTTGACTGACAGGATCCAGGTAGAGTCTTCTCTGCCTTTGACCCCACCCTTTGGAATATCCTCCCATCAGAGGTAAGAGGTAAGGCAGGCTGCCACTTTCCTGGCCTTTTATAAATGCTTGAAGACCTGGTTCTGTCAACTCAAAAATGCTGGGGTATATTTTTGCCTATTTATCTTGTTAGAAACATTGTATGTGGTAGCCTTTTTATATCTGTAACAGCAAAACCAAACAAAGTAGTATCCTATAACACCTTAAAAATCTAGCTAAATTTCTATCCTTTGTCATGGCCGACACTTTAGATTACTCCAGGCATCCAGAAAAGAACAACAGCAATTGGAAGCCTTTCAGGAAAACACTAAAGTTATATTCTATAAGCCCTGTGGGGAAAAAACTCACTATTATCAAAGCTGCAGGTACAGGAAAGGGTGAGGAATCAGCAAAGGTACAATCCCACATCATAGGATTATAATTTACCTTTGAAACCTCATACTTAACAGCAAGTTATTTTAATCCAATATAGGTTGCAGCTGCCCAACATTATTCTTGTTAAAAAGTTTGTTTGTCATTGGCTATCAAACATGTATTTTTATATATTTCTATCTCACAATTTTTCTGACCACAGTCCATGACATTTAGAGATGCAATTTTAAGCAAACCACAAACACATACACATACACAATCTTATTGGCACCATTCCTCCAACCTTAAAATGTTGTGCTCCTGATTTCATTTACTGTACTCTAAGGATTCCCAATCTTTTTAGCCTCTGAGGTACATTTGAACTTTGAGACACTGTTGAGCCCCACAACAAAATGGTGGCTATGGAAGCCATCTAATACAAAATGGCAACTAGATCTACCAGACTAATTACAAAAGAAATGTCCAAAAAATAATTGGATAATCATGAGAAACACATGGAGAATGCACTACAACTGTTTGAAAGAACAGCTAGGAAACCTAAGGAAAGTATCTACTGTATTTTTTTAATCTATATTTCTCAGTTAACACTGGCTTCCTAAAACAATCAAAATAGCTAAAGAGATAGTAAGTGGGATTTACAAAATCATAACCTATCTGATTTAGGAGCTTCATCTTTTCTAGGTAGGAATTCTATGTCCTTATTTCTCCTAATAAATAAGCAAAGCCAAGCATGCTATCCCAGCTTCAACCCTATGAGATGTAAACTATGTAATGTGGATAAATGATTTAACAGCATTTTCAAGAAAGCCAGCAAAGAATAAATTAGTTTAGATATTGCTATCCTTAGAAATCCACAGCTAATTATGATGACTGAAAATAACACGTACTGATGATGTGATGATAAAACCCAACCCTTATTTGCATCCTAACTTTTGATCCAAGTAGGTAAATTGCAGAGCTTGCCTTGTGAGTTCATTACTTGTTTCATTCCTGGCCCCTTCGGACATTTTTGCTGCTGTCTAATTTTATTTTGCTTCAATTAATAAATGCTTTGATTTAAAAGATTTCAATTTATGATAATGTGTCACTGAATTCATTAAGTATTTTGTAAATGTCTATGTTCACGAACTAATTTCAGGATTATTTTGTTCAACAATTTACTGCTTTTCCTCAAAGTAATCTGCAGTTAAAACTTATTTAGCTTAAAATTTGGCAATATTTTTCTCTATGGGTTTTCCTTTTAAAAAGCACTTTATACTATCTTCCATTAATGCTAATTCTGCACCAGTTGCTTCGGCATTTCAAAAAGCAAGTTAAGTTCATGCTGCATTTTAAAAAGTTTTTTGCAAAAACAAAAAAACAAAAAACCCAAACCCCTCACTAGTTCTTCAGCTTCCCCTTTAAAATACCAGGAGGCCAAATTTTGATAGTATACTTGCATCTCTAAACAAGTACATTGATACAAAATGAAATCTATTGGTGAAACATATGTTTCATTTTTTAAAAAAATAGTTTTAAATCATTTTTCTCTCCATCATTAATAAATCTTAAATATATACACTATCAGTTTTACAATTTTCTAAAGTAACAACATTAAGTAGTACCTAACAGCTGCAAACGGTCCTTGGCCATTGCCAAATTTGTCATCATTTTAGACTGGAGGCGACGAGCTCGATCATAATGGTCTCCTTAAAGAGAAAGTTAAATATTCAGCAAATGTATAATAGCAATATCTATCGTATACTCCAGCAAAAGTAAGTAATTAATATAAATGGTAACTAATAAAATAATATAACAGTATATCATACTGTACCACTTGGAACAAATGAAACTAGAAGCAATAGGTTTGGCAAAAAAAAAAAAAAAAACCCTCTAGGATGCTACTACAATTACACAGGGTTCCAAACTACAGACTCCCAAAATACTCATATGAAAATACTATGAGTTTTAGAATTCCTTTGGAAAAGTGATGCATTATGACTACAGATTTGTAAATCTATGCCAATATTCTGCCAGAGAAAAGTACTATTATCTTATTAAAGACTATTCATTTCAAAGAGTAAATGATTATTTTTAAAGCATTTTTAATAAAAATCAAAAGTATTTCAAGGTGTTTATTTGACTGGATCTTAGCTTTGTGTCATAAATTATCGAAGTTAATTATAATGTGTTAACTCACATTGTAATTTTTATACAGTACAGTAACTGTTAATTAAATATACATTTGTTGCTATTTTAATACCAGGGAATCAAACATGATCCAAAATTCTGACTTTTATGTTACCCAATTTTCCCAGCTAAAACTATTATCAGAAAAACTCACTAAAGCCATAATAACTAAACCAAACAATACAAATATAAACTGTATGTTCAAATTTTTGATTCAGCTAAACAAACAGCTGCTATGTACTAAACTTAGTCCTAAAAATTTAGCATTAGCTGTAACTTTGAAGAAGACTTATTATTTTTTGTTTCTATGACTTCTCCATACAATCCCTTTCAAAAAGGACATGATATAAACAATGATAAAAGACTCAGATATTCAATAATTATTCTATAATTATTATAATCTATCCAATGATCAATATCTAATGATCAATTTCAATATATGTAATAGCCAATCTAATGTATCTAGGCAGATTATCTAATAACAATCATTAAAATCATTAAAAGCTTTTTTAAACACTAAAAACAAAAAGAGTAGCAGAATGCAGCACAATTAATCAGTTGTGCAGAATAACTATAAAATATAAAATACACTATTGCAGAATAATACAAGTAATAAAAAATCAAACTGAACACAAACTATAGAAATTCTGGTATAAAAAAATGAAGGTTTTCCTTGACAGCAAAGCATAGGAACCAGACATAACTCCTTGCAAAGTGCTTCTAGAACTCTACAACAGAAGTCTCTACCTCATTTCACCTATCAGAGAAACACGGAACGATTGATCAATCTAAAAGCATATACAAGCGAGAAAATTCTTTTCCCAAATTTTTCAGAGGTTTAAGGATCGAGCCTCAAAAAATTGAATTGGATATACTATGTAGAAACAATAGAACAGCCAATGCAGTAGATGAAGCACTGATATTTATGTATTTATTTATTTACTTACAGGACTTGTACAGCTCATATCAACTCATATACATCTTATACATCTCATATACTGTAATGATTCTGATGATTCACAACAATAAAAAAGCCAAAAACTAAAGTACTCTTCTTCCCAGGTATCAGATTAAATAGCCTCCTAGCTCAACCTTCATCCTAGCAGCCTAGTTCAAAGCTTGAGAGAAGAGCCAAATCTTCACAGCCCTCCAAATAGCTATAAAGATAGGCATCTCAAATAGGATTTCAAATGGGAGACTGGGCTGGGGCAGCCCCCAAGAAAGCATATCTCCAAAGTCCTGCCACGTGGCAACTTTTAAGGGAATGGATCTGGAGTGCCCCCATCCTATCTTAGTAGGACAAGGAGATACTCTCAGGAAGAGGTAGTCCCATAAGGAACCTGGCTCTCTACTGTGTAGCGCCTTGAACTGCAACCAGAAAGCAACTGGGATCCAGTGCAGCTCATGCAGCAGTAGTGCTAATCAGATAAACTGTAGGGCACATAAAACTGCAGTGCCACTGCTTTCTGAAGCAGATGCACTTTCCAGATAGTCTTCAAAGAGAGCCTCATTTAGAGTGCATTGCAGAAATCCAAATGGGAGGTAACTAAGGCATAAGTGGCTGTGAGCAAGGCCTTTTAAAACCACCCAGCTCCCTCACAGAGGGACTCTGAAATGAATATTTGGTGCACAAGATGAATTTGGGCAAGGGCCACACTGGTCACATTTGCTATCTGCTCTATCAGCAGGAGCCAAAAGTTGAAGAAGATCTTCAAATTGCGCACTATTATCTGTCTGGGGACTGTTACCCATTGCAGAGTTTGAGATGTCAACTCTCCTGATTCTAGGGGGTCAAAAATCCACAACCACTCCGCTTTGCTAGGGTTGAGTCACAGCCAGTTTGTCCCCATCCAAGTCCCCACAGCCTCCAGCCATTGAGCCAGCACCTCTAAAGCATAATTTGCCCAGCACTGGCTAATGGAGGTGGCTAATGGAGTAGATGACACCCCATCTCCTTCCTGTATGCACTTTGCTCTCTCCCTCTTTAGCCTGGTTAGTTTTATTTTAATTGAATTTTAAATTTATGGTCTTTATTGTTTTAATGTTTTATAGTGCATTTTAATTAAATGTCTGTAAGCCCCTTTGTATGGGCAACATACAAATTTAATAAATACATTGGGACAAGATATACAATTGGGTATCATCATCATATTGATAATTCCAAAGACCCTGCCGGCAGATGACCTCCCAGTTGCTTTATATAGATGTTAAATAAGAGAGAGACCCAAGTCCTGAGGCATCCCATATAACATGGGACTACGGCTGGACCTCTCCATCTGCAAACACCACCTGGTACTTGTCATGGCAAAACAAGAACCACTACAAAACAGGTCATACACTGTGTCACCAATGCTGTCTCAGTACTATAGGCCAGCCTGAATCCTGATGGAAAAGCTATGATATGATATGATATGATATTAGCCAATTCCAATTACAACTCAGCAATTTTATTTTGGAACAGGTTTTTTTGTTTTCAAAATTATAAGCATCATAGTAATCCAGTTTTGCCAAATGTATTTCAATTTTTATGATTATACACATTATAGCAATAGCTGGCCCTGCTGAACATTACAGTAGTCCTCAATTAATGATCACACATTCAGCAACCATTTGAAGTTAGAACAGTGCTAAACAAATGGTACTTACATCCAGTCCTTGAAAATCTATCTGTCCCTCCACACCCATAGACACAATTCAGAAGCTTGACAACCGGGTCTTACTTAAAACAGTTGCAATATCCAGTTGTCACTTAATCACCATTTGCAATCTTCATTGCCAGCTTCTCACAAGCAAAGTCAATGGAAAAGCAGGCAGGGAAGCTTACATGCTGCACCCACTCCTTTTGCTCCTGAGGAGCTTGATTAGGAAATTCACATTGCATAGCATGGAACACATACCTCCAGCCACATTCTGTAGTGTGCACCTACCAGCCCAGTTACATTTGTACTAAGCTACAGTATCCTTGTACTCATGTCACAATAGCTACCTGTACACTCTTACACTCTGGAGCACCCACCCACCCATCTGCACTTGTAAAACAGCAACTACCCATCCATCCCCACCTGGTTTATCCCTCATCCACCCACAGGCAATATAGGATATGAGACTTCCTGCTGTCTTCCTCACTGACTTTACCTGTTGGAAGCTGGTCAGGAAGTCACAAGTTGTGGTCAATTGAGGTCCTCACTTAACAATCTGTAATACTTGCTTAATGGTAGCAACCAGAATTGCTGGAATTGCCATTGCTAAGTGATGCAGTCATGGGACATTGTGCTTTACAAGCATTATTGCTTAGCAATGGAAATTCTAACTCCAATTGCTATTGTTAAGTGAGGACTAATTATATATAGTACAAAATACAACAACTCCTTAATGGAATTCTTAAAGACTAAGGCTAGTTGATAATTAAATCAGTACCGTAATAGGAAAGTCACGTTTCTTCAAATGATGCTGGACTACAATTGTAATCATTTCTGAACATTGGTTATTATAGTTAGGATTAACAGGAGTTATAGTCCAACATGAGTGGTTAAAAGTTCTTCAATCTTGAACTAAATAAGGATTGACACGAACACCTGAATTTAGTCCAATTCTGATTGACATCTCAACAGAGATATATTAATAATATAACACATCCAGAATTTGGAATAATTCAAATTTATTGTACAGAGAAATATTAACAAGGAAGTAATAAAGATTGCCAAAATTAGCCTCTCAGTGAACAGCTATTTTAATAACGGTTTGGTGTGTAATCACTGAAGAAAACTTTATATGCTAATTTTGCATTCAAGTGCAGGTCTAACCTTGCTTTTCATCAACTTGAAATCTTCATTTTTATACGAGTTTGTTCAAGGTCCTGGTGTGACATGAGAAAAGTGTGCACTAGAAGGCAGGACTTCTCAGTGGTTCTGTATACAATATGAAATATACTGCCCCAACAGCATACCTGGGCACCTCTCCTCTAACATTTAAGATGCTACAAAACATCTTTTTTGTATCTAACCTGAGCTAAGAGACCAGTATGTCATTTTATTAAAAGGCGTGCATTTTATATAAATGTAACTGAGATCACTAGAATGCTTATTTATTATAACTGGGTGGTACATCATTTCTGAAAAAAAAATAAATCCTATGGATTTTACAGATTTCAAGATTTCTTCTTCCAAACTGTCTATTCAGAATTTTCAAACCATATTGACAGCTTTTCTCCTTCATACAACACTAAAAATGAACTTACCTTGACCAATAACTAATATAGCTATTCCTTTCTCGAGTTCTTCAATTCCCTTTCTATACCATTCAACAGCTTGTTCCTTTTGTCCTGCTGGAAAAAAATGAGTTCAATTATTTTATTGTGAAAGAACATCAGATACTACACAAATCATAAGTATCTGTACCACAATAACCAAAATTTGAAAGAAAATATAAACACAACTACTCCAAGTAGTCTTAGACAAACATTGAGAAACTTAAGTAACTTTCTCTTATTAAAACAAAGATATGCAGAAAAAACAATACTTTAGAATAAATTTGATCCTCCTGTAGTTTGCCAATAAAAGGTAAATGCTAATTTTATAAACAAGATCTGTTCAATTCACAGGATTTTAGTAGACGATCACATCTAGGGTAAATTGTCCTGTACCAGACATCACTATAGGCATGGGTCTGAAGTCCATCTATATAATCCAGAAATCTTGGATTATGGTGAATGGAAATCCAGAAAGGAACAAGACAGGGGTGTCCTTTATCCCCTTTATGACTTAATCCAGGGTTGGAACTGTTAAGTAGAGATATTAGATAAGATAACAGAGCAAAAGCACACAATTAAAAACTACGTGCATTTGCTGGCAATTTGGTATTGATTGTGCAAGACTCTCTAGAGAACATTGAATATGTTACGAGAAAGATCAAAATGTTTGGAGACATGGCGGGTTTAAAAATTCACAGCATTTTAGTAGACAATTACATCAAAGGTAAATTATCCTGTACCAAACCTCACTATAGGCATGGGATTTAACTGAAACATGTTAAACTGGTTATTGTTTAAAACAAGTGAATAATAGTAGCATAATGACTATATCAGACTAGTATTACATCAGAATCAGTGAAAGGCAATAAAACATAAATACAACACTAGCTAAAAAGTATACAGCTGACAAAAGTCAGCACTACAGAGAGAAAATAAAGCAGCTTACCATGCTACCAACATGAGAAAAAGTTTACAGTTGCCATTTACTTCTGTACTTTCCTAACACTTAAAGAATTATGCACAAACCCACATTTGATTCTATTCAGTATATTACAATATAAAAACTAAAGGAACACGTATGTCTTTAAAGCACTTAAATATCTAAGTTTGGTCATAAGCTGGTTCTAAGCTTAGGCAGTATTTCATATTCTAACTTAGGAAATAAGTAGTGCCCAACTTCCAAAAATATTTCAAGGCTCAGAGAATGTTAAAATATTCTAACAAATAAACTTAAAAATAAAAAATCATTTGAGTCCAGCAAAGATGAAAGGTTGAAGACAAAACATCTAGTGCCAAACATTCATTGATGCACTTTGGTTCCAATTACACCTGGTGCCTAATGTGTTAGTGATACTATCTGTCATTTATTTAAACCATTAAGTCCATGAAGTCACTAAAAGCATTAAGATTTGAGTTTACCTTAAAGGATATTTTTTATGTGGGGCAATATAATAGCATTAGATAGTCCCTTAAACTCTGAGGATAGATTTGAATATTAATCTAATAAATAAACAAACCCCTCCTATTTTTTGTCAAGCAAGAGCTTTTTTATATTTCTCCTTCTCACAAGTTAAGTCAAGATACCACTGTTACATTAATTCACAATACTCTCACCTGATATGTAAGACATGCTAAGCTATATAGCAGTTCAGACTATTGTACTATAATAATCTTCCAGAAAAGCAAGAGATGTGGATGGAATTGAATCTCTACAGTAGATAATTATACTTCCTGAACCTTCCCCCCCCCCCATTTGACAGTATTGGTTAACCACTGGGGGGAAAAGAGGGAACAACTCAACCTGACCTCAACTAACTATTGTATAAAACAACACTCAGAAATTACAGTTGCCAGCCCTGACAAGCATTGTTGTACAATAATCAAAGTAGACAATTTGCAAAAAAAAAAAAATTAAGTTATGTTTAGTCTATAGTGCAAATACAATTCTTTTATCATTAAAGGAATTATTAACGTTATGAAGCAAGAAAATTCATTCAGAACACGGTCACAATTTCTTATTTTTCTATCTGTAGCTATAAATTCTTCATCAAAACAATATTTGTATATTTTTTCTGTGACCTCAGAAACAATTTTATTCCATCACTACTACTATCAGACATAATAGATGTATTGCAGCCACCTAATCTGAGTGGTTCACAACATATGAAAAATACAATTAATACTGTTAAAAATCTAACAGCCCAAACAGATCACTTATAACAGTAAAAAACACACAATGTCTTCACAAGTACTTTAGTACCAGATCTGAGAATGGAGCTAGGTCCATCAAGAGAGTTAACACTGTACATCTCTCTACTGGGATCCTATTCCAGAGGACATGGGTTGTGACACAAAAGGCACGCTTCAAGATGACAATTGAAGGAACTAGATGATAGCCTCTCTGCCTGAATATACCAGGTAAGCAGAAAATATTGGAGACAGGCAGTACCATATAATTTATCTATAAGTTATGATTAATATGTTAAATGAAACCAAAATCCAAAACTTTTTCCACACATGACTGCAATAAAAGTATGAGGATATTTCATACAACTTTTCAAGATATTCAATTTGATTATTTGAGAACCAGATGACAGATTGTTCTCTTCTTACATTTGTCACTGAATATAGATGAACATGGAGGAACAATCATTTCAGTAGTGGGATGTATATGCATTAGGCAGTATTTTTAATCTTAATTTCCATATTACTGTTTGCTATCCTTATGTTTACATTTTTTTCTTATTTCTGTTAGCTTGCATATTACAATAAATATTAAATAAAACTCAGAATATTTTTTTCATTGCTAGCATTCAGGTACCACACTATAGCATCTTGTCCTAAAACATATGAGGAATATGTGTAGAGCTCTCAGAAGTATTTTTCTTCTTGACTTTAGTTCAAGAATTAAAGGGCAACTTTAGACCTACTAGAATAAGAGAAATTAAGTCTTCTGATGGGTTAAGACAGGGGTATCAAACTGCCAGCCCATGGGCTGGATGTGTCATGGCAAAACCGCGCCCACCCTATTGCCGGCAATGGAAAAAAAGTCACAATACGTCGTGACACATCACATGACGTTGCAAGTTTGACATCCCTGGGTTAGTAGTTTCCCTCTAACACCAGATTTACATGTGTGTCTGTAATTGTCTTTAATCTCTTTATAATTACATTTATATAACACCTGAGACACATGCTTAGTAAAAATCAAACATCATTGACAGATTGGACCACAGTTTCCCCATAAACAGAGATCCAAGAATGCTTGTGATTACAACCCATTAACCCATAGTTAATCATGATTTACTCAATTTACCATAAACTAACCACAGTGGCTAAATATGAAAAAGGTTAAAATATGTACATATTGTAAGCCTGTATGTCATGCAGACACAGCCAAAGAGACAGGAAAATCATTACTGCTGTTAATGCTTAATCAAAATATTTCTCCTTGTGGTACTGTGTAGAATTAATTGAAGTAAATTGGCTGCTACATACAAACAACATACTATTGTTGTAGAATAGAAACAGGAAAACAGAGCAGAAATTTCCATCAACTTCTGAAAGTTTTAATTTTTTAAACATAGACATGAAACTCAAATTAAATAAAACTAAATTACTGTCATTAATAGAGCATTTCTATATTTATTAGCACATGTATGCATGCAGGTTCAATACCTGGCATCTTCGGTTTGTAAATCTTACATAAAGATGATGTGGCAAATTTTTGTTTGGAGAATTCTTGGCTTTCAAATAAATTACTATTGGACAATAATTAACTAATGGTCTGATTCAGTGTAAGGTAGCTATCTGTATTATTTTCCAACAAATTAATTTGGAAAGTCTCACTTAGAAGTAGGCACAAGAATACAATGCTACAAGTATTATTATTTAACCATTATTCCTTCCATTTTGTGTGTTATGAACTGCTTTGAATATATTTCACAGAAGGCAAAAATGAATAGATCTAATCAAGGTAGTGATGCTGATCAAAATTGACACATCAAGATAGCTTCATGTATTCCAATACGAATGATTTCTAGCAGCGCATCTCACAAAAATCTACACATTTGCTAAGTATAGAATATTTAAGCATTTCTATAAGTGGGTTTAGCTCTGCCTCAAACTTTACTGTCTGTAAGCTGATATTATTTACAATTTGCAACTGACAAGACACAACTTGTACCATCCATACTCCCAATATTAACATACTCCTGTTTAACTTACTGCTGTACAGCAACCCAACCATATAAAGGAAAATGCCATTTTGGATAATTTGCCTCCATAACTCCATCATTTTACAGGAAAGTATTTTTCTCTTCTGTAATGCTAGCCATAGTCAGTTTGGTGTAGTGGTTAAAGCATCAGGCTATGCTTCTAGGCCACATTTAGGTAGGAAACCAGCTGGGTGACCTTGGCCCAGCCTCTCTGTCAGCGCTAGGTAAGGAGGCAATGGCAAATCACTTCCAAAACCGTTTGCCAAGAAAACTGCAGAGATTTATCCAGGCAGTTGGCAGGAGTTCAAAATCAAGGGAAAGGCAGCCCTACATCCCCAAAAAACCTCCTGCCAGCCACAGAAATATAATACCGTAAACTATAAGCCGTAGAGTCACTACAGAGGAGATTAGCAGGAATGGATGAATAAGATGCAACCTGAACCTAGAGAACAAAGAGACTAACCCAATACTGTAGCACAAAGTCTCTTTCAGATTCATAACAAAGCCTCCCTCACATGGGCTCCACCCACAAGCCCTTCCTATCAACATCTTTCATGCAGAGGAACCCTTTATGTGGCTGTAACACGGGTCTTCTCGGCGTGGGCAATTCAACCCTTGCAATCCCGGCCCCCCTCCCGTTGTACACCTGTATACAGGTGTACATCTCTACTTTGCCCGGATTGCGCTGTTAAGGTTGTTAACGACGTTAATCGCTGCTGGCACTCAAAATCCGGATGGAAGGTCCCTCTCTGCCGAGCCCGAGATCGTTCTTGCCCCTTCAGCCCCCTTCGTCTTGCCCTTAGGCGTGAGTCACTAACACAAGCGAAGCGGCTCTAACGCACAGCCATATTAAAAGTCAAGCAGGTGTTCGGGTCCTAGTACTGTATACCAATGCCGGCCGTCGCTTCGCCACAAGCCAGAGAGCGAAACGGAGGCTATGACAAAGCAGAAAACCGACCCTGCATTTAGACAAAGCAAGCGTGAGAGGGGCCGGAAAAAAGGAAGGCTCCCCTTAACAGTCGCGAACTTCGCAGCCTTCCCGCCGTCTCCCTCACTCCCAGGAGCTTGTCCGCCGGCCCTGCCCGCTTTCCCCAGACTTACCCGCCTCATCTTCGTCGATGCGCAGAGCCGTGGAGATGCACTCGAAGGCGCGCTTGTGACAGGTTCGAACCGACTCGGGCGTATCGCCTGCTCGGCTGGTGCTCTTGGCGGCGGCCATCAACGCCCCGCCTCGGGAGAGGCGCTCGCAGAGCCAGGCGAAGAGCAGCCCGAGCTGGAAGGCGAGGAAACGAAGCAGCGCGAAGACGGCGAAAAGCGGATACGAAAAGTAGTAGAGATTCCGCTTGTGAGGAGAAGCCACCGCCGCCTGTTGGCGGTGTGGGGCGGGAGCCGGGCCGGCGGCGGATGAAGGGGAGGCCCCAGCGGCCCGAGTCGGGGAACTGGAGGCGCTTAAGCCCTTTTTCTTCCCTCTCCCTCCCGGAGAATTCATTCATCACCACCGTAGCCATAACCCGCTGCCAGGGACTGACAACCACCTGCCAGGGCCTGCCATACCAGAGGCTACGCCCCTTTTGCTCAACCCCACTATCTCATACGCGCGGACGGGAAACTCTACGTAGCGAGCTTTTCTGAATAAGAAACCCCGTAAGCGCCTTTTGGAGGTCTATTGTTAGTTAAGAAGTGTGATCACCGTCAGAGCGGAACGCTTCTTTTCACAAGGAATAGCGGAAGTTTGGGTTCCGCTCCACATTAGGAAGTTCGCCCTTTCTGTGAGAGCGATGCATTCTGGGTAATGTCGTTAAAGAACGTTTGCATAATGGGAGTGAGAATGTTTTTCCTCGTGGTGTCTCGTCAGCTAACCCTGGAAATGTGGTTGGATTGCAAGTTCCTTTCATGTTTTCAAAATCAGCAAAGCTATACGTTGCATCGAACTCCGTGACCTGATTTGCATATCCCAATAAATAGTAACGTGGTTGCTTTGGGCTTAATATTGAAAGATGAAGGATTGTTATGTGTGAGGTATGCCGTTATGGTTTGGTCCAGGGGTAGGCAACCTTGGCTCTTTTATGACTCGTGGACTTCAACTCCCAGAATTCTTGAGCCAGCTGGCTCAGGAATTCTGGGAGTTGACGTCCACGAGTCATAAAAGATCCGAGGTTGCCTACCCCTGGTCAATGTATCATTGTAAATATAGTAACTCCTATTTAGCATTATGTTTAATTTTAGGCTACTTTGCCATTCTTTTCTTTCACTGTATGTTAACACATAATACAGTATTCTAGATGTGGCCTAGAAAGTCAGGCGCTGACTTTGTTTGCTACCTTTGCAAAGGCTTTTTTGCCCATCCCAAAATACAAATCAAGTAATTCAGGTGAAGCAAAAAGTATTTATTAAGGGTGTATGTGTGTCAGGTATTTTTATAGGGTACAGAAACAAATGATACATAAAGTATATGGGATACATAAGAAAACAAGTGATCAAAGAGTAAAGTACATTGATTACATGTGAGAATAGAACAATAGAAAACATTGATTCTCCATAACATTCCACAAATGGCAAATTTATAGGTTACATTATTTCCTTTTCCAGCTGGATTTATATTTTCCTTAAAACTTGCAATTGTATTAAAGGAATATGCTGAGAATATGCTCTCTATTTAATTTATGAATAAGCTAGTTTATGAATAGGCTATTTTTGCAGATTAAAATAAAAGAAATGGCTTTAGCTAAAAAAATTGATTTCAAAAACAGGCATGGATGTCATATTAAAATGCTAATATCTCTCCCATTAAAAGGTTAATAATGAAGCCTAAAATTCTAAGTAGCATAGAGATAAAATAAGAGTTCGGTCTGGTTAGTACAGATAATTCAAATCTCCAGATTTGTATAGTTGTCAGTTACTGCTATGCTACTTCCAAGTACTATAGAAACAACTACTGTACAGCAGTTAACACTGCTACATCTATCACCACCACTTCTGGTTATTACCACAATATCTGGTAGATTGGCTAGTATCTGCCTATCCATATGGATCTGGAAGTCCCACAGGATTTTAGCCCTGTTATTTTCCATGACCTTCTGTGGAATCTCCCATCTGGACTTGGGAGGATCTAGTCCATACACTGCAGATGTTCCTGAATACAGTGCCAGCTACTTGGTTATGCTGTTCAGTATATGCTATTCCTGCCTGCATCTTACACCCTGCCGCTATGTATTGGACTGTCTCTGAGGCCTCTTTATACATTCTGCAGTGGTGGTATATATAGCCGTACCAAGTAACAGCAACATCAGGAATAAGGAGTATAAGGAATTGGAGAAGTACCAGGACCTGAAGGAGGAAATAGCAAGGAGGTGGAAAATAAAGGCCAAAGTGCTCCCAGTGGTGGTAGGAGCACTTAGGCTGTAACTCCTGGGCTGGGAGACTACCTCCCTCAGATCCCAGGAACAACAGCAGAGTTCTCTATCCAGAAGAGTGCAGTGCTAGGAACACACATATCATTCATAGGGGTAAGAAGGCAAATATATATCATGTATCTCAAGTGTAAAGGTAAAGTTCATCTCCTATTGTTTCTAACTGTAAAACCATGCTGCAACAAAATGCAGTCAGATTCAACATCTTGTAGGCCCTATTTCTCTTGAATCTGTCATCACATCTTAAACACCTGTAGTGATAGAAACACCTTCAAGGTAGGACAATTTTTCTCAAACTGCTTTTATATATGGCACAATTTACTCTTGACTAAACAAGACAACTTTATTCTGATGTACAAAATTACATTTTTATTACCTCCCTCTTAAAACTATTGCTGCAAATCCAATTTTCTGTAAACTCACTGAATGTCATAGGACTAACTTTTAAATAAACATGGCTAGAATGAGAAAGAAGAAAGATAGCAATCTGTCACACTGACTCCTTGAGCTTTAGGATTATATTGTCACTACTGCATCCCAGTATGCTTTCTTCCTCCCTTGGATCAGTTAGTCAGTATTACTAATGAACTATGCCTAGTTCACATAAGCCACAGAGGAGTATGGAGATAACCTTGATGAAGAAATGCAAGAACATTAAATAATTAACAATTCAGAAGGGATGAGAAATAAATTCAAGATAATCCTGCCTTGATTCCATTTGGTATAAAAGAAGGCAGAGAGATACTCTGCAGAATTTCAAGACTCTGTTATTATGTCCTATAAAAATAAAAGTTCCAGTAGTCCTTGTGTTATGTATTCCTGGCTGATACTGGATAAGCTTGCCATATTAAATAAATCGCACTTGGCCAAGTCTACTTGATGCACTAAACTAAAATCAAGTAAAACACATTCCAGCTTAATGTATTGTTTTACCAAGCATATGCTTTACAGACATAGGCTTAAGATTTCATGCAATTCATAGGAAGGCTGCATCAAAGAACTGCAATAAATCCTCATTCCTTCCAAATTTTGAGATTATGTCCGTAATGTATATTGTAATTAATCTCATTTTAAGAAGCATAAAGTGATATGTTCTTAGTGGCTTAATTGTAAAAAGTGTTTATCAAATCTTCTTGTGACACATTAGTGCAATATGATATATTCTAAACTGGGCAATAAATGGGGAAGGAGTGGAAAACTGCACCCTTTCCTTCTAAGGGATTCCATACAATGATCAATCCTACTCAAAGAAGCTGGAGATTTCTGCTCTCCTTGCCAGAAATACTCTTCTCCAAGTATGAGTTATCCTTTGAAGGCACAAAGAAGCATTCTTGCCCTGTGGCCAGGGGAAAGAGCTGATGAGTTAAATGTGTTTGATAGTGTGTCCTAGTTTGAACAGTGGAGTGTGCTAAATAATTGTATGAAGATATTAGAAGGTAAGTTGTTACTTTACAGAATTTTGCATTTTAGAATTCATTTGGGATCAAGCTGTTTACAATATACACAAATTGCCTCTATAAACATCAGAATCTACATTTGGAGTGCTGGTCTGCAACAATTCAGACTATCATTAGATTTTAGAAGATAGCAAATATACAGGAAACATCAAATCGACTGGACTTCAGCTGCCCAGTTTTGATAGCCCCAGCTTTTCCCATCTGAGTTTTACGAAGCAAGGAAAACACTGAATGCTTGCAAGTTAAAGAAGCCTATTGCAACAAATGAATCCTTACTTAATCCAGAATAAAATTCTGCTTCGTTGTGAGCTCTTTAGGGTGACAGCTTCTTTTCTGTATTGTCAAATTTATAACAAACATCTGAAAATAAAGATTCTTTAACCCCGATCAATTTTGTGACTAAGCACCATGCTAATTTCGAGGATGCATAGCCTGCATTTTACACTGCTCAAACCAACCTGAGGTGTTTTTCTAACAGCCTCCAGCCCCGGAGCAGCACTTGGCGCTGGAGACATTTTACGCAGGCGCACAAATCAGCAAACAAACAACAAAAAATCTTCGTGGCCCGTGAAGTGCGACATCCTTCCTTTCCATGGCCACAACATTGTACGACAACCAATATCTTTTTACGACTTGTAGCGACGGTTGTGTTTCTTGTTGCTCCGCGACGGGCCGTTTCTTGCCGGTTATATCTTCCAACCGAATTTAGTTGATCAAGTGTAAGTAAGAAGAGTAGAGGTACTCTGAAGCCTTAGGCCAGAGATATATCCCGGAACCACTTAATTCCTCCATGCTTGATTTTAACTGCAAAAAAAGAAAAGAAAAAAGCTTTTGTTAGGGCGCCGAGCAAAAGCTGCAATCCAATCTCCTCTTACTTGAAATAAGTCGGGCTTCCTTTCGAATTAATATATGTCTCATCCGCGGTCTCTTTTAATTATGGAATTGATTCCTCAGTCAGTGGCCCCTAGATAATTTTGGTAACCCAATCGAAGCAGTGAAATCACTTTAAATATCTCATGCTTAAGGAGTTTTGTTTTACTGGCTTAATATAAAAAGTACTTAATCTGGGAGAGTAGCAAAATATCTTTGAGATTCAGGATGTTAACTTTCTATGTCTCAGTGTATTAACTTGTATAATCGTCATTTTTTTTAAAGTTCTTTCAGACTATTTTAACTTCCGTACATCATGGATACCGAACCGATTATCGAGGGCCAGCCACAGGTAAGGCTAAAAGAGCAAGCATAATAATAATTCTTTAACATTCTTGTTTTCTAAAGAGGCAAATATTCCTTTGTTGTTATTTTATGGTTGTGTATTACTTTACAGGTTCCAGAAAATCCACATGCAGAATATGGCCTTACAGAAAATGTAGAGGTAATTGTGTTTAGATTATTTCTAATTGAAGTTAATGATACACTGCTCTGAGTGTATAATTAGGATACAGAACTGCGTAGAGTTCTGAATGAAGCCTCATGTTTTGTATTAGATTATTTGATTGATTCTGAAATTATGATACTATACTGAAAATTAGAGATGTTTCTATTAGTTTTTTTTAAAAAAAACTTTAATGAAAGAGTTTTTACAATTGCCTTGCAAAAGCTCTGGTTAGTTGCTCTGTAATGATGCAAATTACGTGGAGATATGCTAGAGGTGGAAATCTGATTTTTTTTCCCCATGTCTTGGGAGTACTTAGGGGCATTTATGACATTTTTGAAATTATGCTAAGCCTATTTTAAGTTCTGCTTGATGCCTGGAAATTGTGGAAAATTGCAGTAGTGAGTTTCAGGTGTTGCAGTTCTACAGTACAGGGGCTCTAAAGGTTCATACAGCCATGGGATTCTGGATTGGTCACCCAAATCTCTGGAATATATTTGCACGTTTATATGTATACTTTGGTACAACAAGACTTCAATCACACCTATAAATCTATTGAATGAAGGCATGAGTATTTTCAAGCAAATAAATCAGCTTTGTTGCTTGGGATTCTGTACCATTCAGAAGAATATTTTTTTGCTTGTGTAGATTACAATAAAATGCATAAGTCTGTGGAAATATTCTGGACAGGGGGCATGCA